TTTTTTTTTTTTTTTTTTTTTTTTTGCAGTGCTATATTAGTGTCAGGTATAAAACCTAGTGATTCAACAGTTCTGTTCATTACTCAGTGCTCATCATAAGTGTACTCTTAATCCCTATCACTTATTTCATTTCACCCATCCTCCCACCCACCTCCTCATCAGTTTGTTAACTATAGTTAAGAGTCTGTTTTTTGGTTTGTCTCTTTTTTTATTGTTTCTTGAATTCTACATGTGAGTAAAATCATATCGTAATTGTCTTTTTCTGACTGATTTATTTAATTTAGGATTGTAATCTCTAGATCCATCCAACATTGCAAATGATACGATTTCATTCTTTGTGGCTGCGTAATATTCCATTGTATATGTATAGCACATCTTTATCCATTCATCTATTGATAGACATGTGGGCTGCTTCCATAATTTGGCTATTGCAAATAATGCTGCAATAAACACAGGATGTTTATATTTTTTCAAATTGATGTTTTAATATTCTTTGGGTAAAAACCCAGTAGTGGAATTGCTGGATTGTATGGTAATTCTATTTGTAATTTTTTGAGGAACCTCCATACTCCTTTCCACAGTGACAGCACCACTCTGTATGCCCATAAACAGTGCATGAAGGTTCCTCTTTCTACATATCCTTGTCAGCACTTGTTTCTTCTGGTTTTGATTTTAGCTATTTTCACAGGTATGAGGTGATAACTCATTGTGGTTTTGATTTGCATTTCCCTGGTGATTAGTGATGTTGAGCATCTTTTTATTGAACATCTGTATGTCCTCATTAGATATATCTCTTTTCATGTTGAGCATGTGTTTATTGAACATCTGTATGTCCTCATTAGAGATATCTCTTTTCATGTCTTCTGCCCATTTTTAATTGGATTATTTGTTTTTATGGTGTTGAGTTGTATAAGTTCTTTGTATATTTTGGATACTAACCCTGTACCGGATATGTCATTTGCAGATATCTTCTCCCATTCCATAGGTTGTCTTTCAGTTTTATCATTTGTTTCCTGTGCTGTGCAGAAGCTTTTTATTTTGATGTACTCCCAAGTTTATTTTTACTTGTTTCCCATGCCTCGGGAGACTAGAAAAATGTTGCCATTGCCTGTGTTGGAGAAATTACTGCCTGTGCTCTCTTCCAGAACTTCTATGGTTTCAGGTCTCACATTTAGGTCCTTAATCTATTTTGAGTTTATTTTTGTATAGGGTCTAAGAAAGTGTCCAGTTTCGTTCTTTTCGTATAGCTGTCCAGTTTTCCCTACACCATTTTTTGAAGAGACTGTCTTTTATATTGCATATGCTTTCCTCCTTTGTTGAAGATTAGTTGACCATATAACCATGGGTCTCTGGGCTCTGTCTTCTGTTGATCTGTATGTCTGTTTTTGTGCCTGTACATACTGTTTGGATTACTGTGCCTTTGAAGTGTGTCTTGAAATTTGGGATTATGATATTCCCTGTTTTGTTCTTTTTCAAGATTGCTTTCACTATTCAGGGTCTTTTGTGGTTCCATGCAAATTTTAGGATTGTTTGTTGTAGTTCTGTTGGTATTCTAATAGGTATTGCATTAAAACTGTAGATTGCTTTTGGGTAGTATGGAGATTTTAATGTTATTTTTATTCTTGTCTATGAGCATGGAATATCTTTCCATTCATCTTCAGTTTTCTTTAATCAGTGTTTTATAGTTTTAAGAGTACAGGTGTTTCACCACCTTGGTTAAATTTATACCTAGGTATTTTATTACTTTCGGTGCACCTGTAAATGGGATTGTTTTCTTAATTTCTCTGTTACTTTGTTACTAGTATATGGAAATGCAACGGATTTCTGCGTATTGATTTTTGTATTCTGCAACCTTAGTGAATTCTTTGATCAGTTCTAGAAGATTTTTGAGGGAGTGTTTAATGTTTTTTATATATGGTATCATGTCATCTGCAAATAGTGAAACTTTTACTTCTTTCTTACCAATTTGAATGCCTTTATTTCTTTTTGTTGCCTGATTGCTGTGACTAGGACTTACAGTACTATGTTGCATAAAAGTGATGAGAGTGGGCATCCTTGTCTAGTTCCTGATCTTAGAGGAGAAGCTGTTTTTCCCCATTTAATATGATAGCTATGGGTTGTTCATATAAGGTCTTTTTATGTTGAGGTATATACCCTATAAACCTACTTTGATGAGGGCTTTTATCATGAATGGATGTTGTACTTTGTGAAATGCTTTTTCTGCATCTACTGAAATGATTATATGGTTTTTATCCTTTATCGTGTTGATGTAATGTGCTAAGTTCACTGATTTGTGAATATTTAATGTTCTTTGCAACTCAGGAATAAATCCCACTTGATGTGAGTGATTTTTTTTAACATATTGTTGGGTTCAGTTTGCTAAAATTTTGTTGAGAATATTTGCATCTGTATTCATTAGAGATACTGGCCTGTAGTGTTTTTGTTTTGGTTTTGGTTTTTTTTAGTGTCTTTATCTTGTTTTGTAACAAAGCAATGCCGGCCTCTTAGGAGGAGATTTGCAAGTTTTTCTTTTCTATTTTTGGAATAGTTTGAGAAGAATAGGTATTAACTTTTGTTTAAGAGAAGGTAGAATTTGCCTGTGAAGCCATCTGGTCCTGGACTTTGGTTTGTTGGGAGTTTTTTTGATTACTGATTCAATTTCATTGATGGTAGTCAGCCTGTTCAAATTTTCTTTAAAAAAAAAATTTTTTTTTTAATGTTTTTATTTATTTTTGAGGCAGAGACAGAGCATGAGCAGGGGAGGGGCAGAGAGAGAGAGAGACACAGAATCCGAAGCAGGCTCCAGGCTCTGAGCTGTCAGCATAGACCCTGACGCGGAGCTCACAGGCTGTGAGATCATGACCTGAGCTGAAGTCGGACGCTTAACTGACTGAGCCACCCAGGCGCCCCATCTTTTTTTTTTTTTTTTTTTTTTTTTTTTTTTAATTTTTTTAAATTTTTGAGAGAGAGAGAGAGACAGAGCATGAGTGGGGGAGGGGCAGAGAGAGGCAGACACAGAATCCAAAGCAGGCTCCAGGCACTGAGCTATCAGCACAGAGCCTGATACAGGCTCAAACTCATGAATCGTTTTTCTTGCTGAATCTTTCTAAAGGTTTGTCAATTTTGTTGATCTTTTCAGAAAACTAACTCCTGGTTCCTTTTGTCTGTTCTACTGTTCTTGTAGTTTCTATTTCATTTGTTTCTGCTGTAATCTTTATTATTTCCTTTCTTCTGCTGGTATTGGGTTTTGTTTGTTCAAAGCTCCTTTAGGTATAAGGTTAGATCCTTCGAAATGTTTTTTGCTTCTTGAGGTAGGCCTGTATTGCTGTAAACTTCCCTCTTAGAAATGCTTTTGCTCGGGGCGCCTGGGTGGCGCAGTCGGTTGAGCGTCCGACTTCAGCCAGGTCACGATCTCGCGGTCCGTGAGTTCGAGCCCCGCGTCAGGCCCTGGGCTGATGGCTCGGAGCCTGGAGCCTGTTTCCGATTCTGTGTCTCCCTCTCTCTCTGCCCCTCCCCCGTTCATGCTCTGTCTCTCTCTGTCCCAAAAATAAATAAAAAACGTTGAAAAAAAAAATTTTAAAAAAAGAAATGCTTTTGCTGCATTCCAAAGATTTTGGACCATTATGTTTTCATTTATGCATTTTCTTGGTTGACCCATTCATTATTTAGTGGCATGTTTTTATCCTTCATATATTTGTCCAGACTTATTCTTTTTTTTTTTTTTTTTTTTTTTTTTTTTTTTTTTTCAGACTTATTCTTGTGGTTGATTTCTAGTTTCTTAAGTGCTGTGGTTGGAAAAGTTGCATGGTAGGACTTTCATCTGTTTGAATTGAGACTTCTTTTGTGGCCTAATTTGTGATCTCTTCTGAATATATTCCATGTGCACTTATTTGAAAAGAATGTATATACTGCTATTTTAGGATAGAATGTTCTGAATAATATCTATTGGATCTATCTGCTCCAGTGTGTCATTCAGAGCCACTGTTTCCTTGTTGACTTTTTGTTTGGATGATCTATCCATTGATGTAAGTGGGGTGTTAACATCCCCTACCATTATTGTATTACAATCAGTTAGTTTCCTTTATGTTTGCTATTAGCTGCTTTATGTATTTGGATGTTTCCATGTTGGATGCATAAATATTTATCACTGATATATCTTCTTGTTTGATCGCTTATATAGCACCCTTCTTTGTTTCTGTTCACTTTTTGGATGATAAATGCTTTTCTATCCCTTCACTCTCAATCTGCATGTGTCTTTAGGTCTGAAATTAGTCTCTGTAGGCAGCACTCTTGTTTTTTTATCCATTTTATTACCCTGTATATTTTGACTAGAGAATTCAGTCCATTTACTTTCAAAGTAATAATTGATAGGTCTATACTTATTGCCAATTTGTTACTTGTTTTTATAGTTCTCTGTTCCCTTCTTCTCTTGCTCTTCTCTCATGGCTTGCTGGCTTTTTTTTTTTTTTTTTTTTTTTTTTTTTTTTTTGGAATATACTTGGCTTCCATGTCTTTATTCTTTGCATATCTATTACTGGCTTTTGATTCGTGGTTACCATTGGGTTTGTATATAACATCTTAGTCACATAGCAGTCTGTGTTAAGTTGATAGTCGCTTAAGTTTGAACCTGTTGTTTACTCCTCTTACCCCAACCCCCACATTATAGGTATACTTCGTTTTACTGCTTCTGTACTTCTTATTTTTCTTATTTCTGCTTATGGTCTTTTCCACTCAGAGTCTCCTTTAACATTTCTCGTAGGACTGGTTTAGTGGTCATGAATTCTTTAAACTGTTGTTCATCTAGAAAACTCTTTGTCTCTTTCTTCTGAATGATAGCCTACAATAATCTTGGCTACAGGTTTTTTTTTTTCTTTCAGCATTTGAATGTATCCTGCTACTCCCTTCTGGCTTGCAAAGTTTCCGCTGAAAAATCAGCTGATAGCCTTATGAGGTTTTCTTTGTTTGTAACTATCTTCTCTTAATTGCTTTGAAAATGTTCCATATATCACTGTTTTTTGCCATTTTAATTACCATGTGTCTCACTGTGGGCTTCCTTGGGTTGATTTTGTTTGAGGGTCTCTGTGCCTGTTGGATCTGGATTTCTTTCTTCTTACCTAGATTTGGGAAGTTTTCAGCTATTATTTCTTCAAATTTTCAGCCCCTCTTTTTCTTCCAGGATCTTTATAAAGGGAAAGTTATTACACTTGTTGGTATTGCAGAGCTCCCCAAATCTGTTTTCATTTTTTATTATGTTTTTCTACCACCTGTTCAGCCTGATTGTTTTCTGTTACCCTGTCCTCTAGGTTGCTGATCCATTCATTTGTCAGATTCCTCTTGTGTGCTATTTGTGCTATCTAGTGTATTTTTAATTTCACTTATTGAGGTCTTCATCTCTGATTGGTTCTTTTCTATGTTTTCTCTCTTTGTTCACTCTTAAGTCCAGTGAGTATCTTTACCATTTCTTTAAATTCTCTATCAGACATATTACTCATCTCCATTTCATTCAGCTCTTTTGCTGTGGTTTTACCTTCTCTTTCCTTTGGGATATATTCTCTTGTCCATTTTGTCTAACTCTGTGTGTCTATTTCTACATGTTAGGAATACTAGTTATGTCTCCTGCTCTTGAAAGTAATGACCTTATGAAGAAGAGTTCCTGTAGTGCCCTGCAATGCAATGTCTGTTGTGCACTAGAACCTGATGCTTTAGCTGTATCTCCTATGTGTAATGCATGTACCTTAGTATTGTGACTAAGCTGTTTTTGCTTTCAGTCCAGTCATCTGGAATGTTTCTGTTTGCCTGTCTTGGACAGGATTTGGTCCCTGTGTTGTTAAGAGGGCCAGTCTGGAGCCATTGTGGGCTTGAGTTGAGTCAGATCAAGTGTTTGCCAGAGATGCGGTAGCATGGAAGTGTTTCTTGCTTTCCCTTTGTTGTACCCTGAGAAAGTTTCTTGGGTGGGTGAGGCCTACAGTCAAACCAGATATCTGATTGTAGCCCACTGCTAGGGCTGCAGTAGGACTGATATGTGTAATTATCCTCTCTTCTCCACAGTGTAGCTGTTATTTTGGAGTGGTACAGGTCCCCTGTCAGGGCTACTTGTACCCTGCCTGGCTTATAGCACTGGTTTGGATGAATTCCAACCCAGGGCATATTGGAAGTGGTAGGTCCACAGCCGAAAGTGGGGTGGGGCAGCAGAATTATCAAGGTTTGCACAGGTCTGTTGTGGGAGGGGACCTGGAACAGAGGTCTGACTAGAGGGGACAGTTTTATAACATGGGGTTGAGGCACATTGTTAGCAAAGCTAGATAGAGAGCTGTGCTGTTTCCTGCAAGTGTCTGTGTGTCTAGGCCGAGGGACTAAAGAAGGAAATGGTGCCTGCCAGTTCTTTTGTTCCTGGAGAAGTCTCTCAAGGATTCCTGCCCCTCCAGCACATTCTTTGAGATTAATACACAAATCTCCCACCAGTATATTCCAGGCGTTTTTCGAACTGCTACTGTTAAATGCTATACATCTGCGGGGCTGTTTGTTGTGCTGTCTTTTTAAGGGTGAGGAGTTAGTTTCCTCTCAATTTCTTGGCTCTCTTAGAGCTGACCCTACTGATTTTTAAAGTGCCAGGAGTTAAGCCCTGCTAATGATAAGAACTTGTGAAGTTATGCCCCTCTGGTTTTCAGAGGCAAATGTTATGGGGATTTGTCTTCCCCTTATGGGTTCCTTGTGCTTGGGGTGCCTGGTGTGACTGAAGGTCCATTTCTTCTGTTTGTGCCCTTGGTGTCCTTTCCTGCCATTGGCATTCCTGCAGTTCTGTTTGGCTCCTGACTCTATCTCTGTCCTTCCTACCCTCTTCCTTGTGGCCTCTTCTCTACATTTAGCTGTGGAGAGTCTGTTGTGCCAGTGTTTGGGCGATTTTGGGTTGTTTACACTTATGTAGGTGTTATCTGGTAGCATCTGTGGGACTTGGTGAAGTCGGGATTCTCCTATTCCATCATCTTTCTAGCTCTTTGAAGTTGTGAAAATTTACTACTGACAGTTTCCTGCTTCAGTTACTGAAGTGCCACTAGAGAATTCCCAAAATGTTATTTATTTCCACATTAGTGGTTATTCAATTCATATATTGTTTCTTAGAGTGAAAGTTACTGTTATTTGTTGGTAGTATTGTCTACTTGACTCCTCATGTTAAGCATGCTTTTTATTTGATGCCAGAAATTTGTATTTTGCTTCTAGGAATGCTTTGGAAATAGAGGTTTCCAAAACTGATAGTTTCTTTAAAACAGAATATTTGTATTTTTAAAACTTTGTTTCAATTTACTTGTAATTTACTATTCAGAAAACAAAGAGGAAGGACTTCTGGAAAAGCGCAGGCAGTTATCTCGTGATATCAGTAGATTGAAAGAAACATATGAAGCTCTCTTAGCCAGATTTCCCAATATTCAATTTGCCTACAGGTAAGAGATTTAAACCTAAATTTTTAATGTAGCAATAGCCAAGATATATTTTTATTTAAGCTTGGAAGACAGTGAAAATTTCATTTACATCAAGTTTTTTGTATGAAAGTATTGTAAGCTGCTTTTCCTTAATTGGGATTTTTTTCCCTAAACATTTATTGAAATGTTAACCAAGATATATTTTCATTTAAGCTGGAAGGCAGTCCGAAAATTTTGTTAACATTACGATTTTTGTATGAAAAATATTATAAGTTGCTTTTCCTTAATTGGTATTTTTTTCTTAGATGTTTATTGAAACGTTTCAGATGTTGGCAGGGGAATTCTTAAGATCAAAATGAGGGAAATTTAGTCCACAGTTTCTGTAAATATCTACATTAGCATTTTACAATTTGTTTTGCTACATGGGTTTTTTTTTATGGAATACTCAAAGTAATGTGTTAAAAAGAACATCAACATTATTTTTGCTACGTTGAAAACAATATATACTGAAAGAGTTTTTGATTGACTTAAAGCAATAGCTGACTAGTCATCTGGAACATTTAAAAATTTGTTTTTCTTAAAACTGTATATGCTTCTCTTTCGATTGAATGTGTTGTCAGAAAGAGCTCTTGACTAGTAAAATATAACTTAATCTGTTTTATTGTTTCACATTAATTTTTTGTCATGTGTTGTATTTTAGGGATCCAGAGAAGAACTGGAATAGAAATTGTGTGAAAGGACTTGTAGCTTCTCTGATTAGTGTGAAAGATACTTCTGCAACGACAGCTTTAGAATTGGTGGCTGGGGAAAGGCTCTACAATGTTGTAGTAGACACAGAGGTAAATTAATTATAATGAAAGAAAATTTACAATTGCTCTTTAGCTGGAAAAATCATGAGTTTCTACAGTGGAGTACTTTCTTTATGTTTTAAGCTGTTCCTAAGGTTTATAAGTACAGTAATTCAGTTAATGACTTTTATTTTATTACTGATTATATCGTATTTGATTAACTGTATTCCCAAAGAAGTCACATGCTTATTCAGGAGCCCAGAATGCTTATTATCAGTCTTAGACTTTTGATTGTTTAGGATGGTAGGACTAAATATTTAATTGTGGATTCCTAAACTTGTACTCTTTCCATCTGAATATTTTCTGTCATTAATATTTTCTTTATTTCAAATGCACAATGTTTTAGGTGACTGGAAAAAAGCTACTAGAAAAGGGGGAATTGAAGCGTCGATACACTATAATTCCACTGAATAAAATTTCAGCCAGATGTATTGCTCCGGAAACTCTGAGGGTCGCACAGAATCTTGTAAGTCTTATTTATATGTTTTATGTACATCTTACTTGGTTTATTTAGTTAGGGGACATTAACTTGAGGGACATAATCATATATGGAACCATAAAGTTGTATTGTTACCATACTTCAAATAGTTAAGCTACAAAAAAAAGTAAGAGTTGGCTTATGTGAAATTAGATAGAAAGAGAATAGAAATGGGGGAAGACAAACTCCCTTTGATATTTCAGAGTTGTAATGTTAAAATGTCTTTAAACCTTAAGTGAGGTCACATGACTATCACATGATAACATTAAATTTCTGATCTCTGAGTTGTTAGATATACAAAGCTTATAAATACCAGAATTCTTCAGTTTTTTGTTTTTTTTTTTTTCCTGTCAGGCACAAAGTGCCCACAGTGACAATGGTTTTGGAAGGTGTCCATCAGTCTTGCAGAGATGCTTCTCTATTAAAGTATCTCTACATTGCCTTCCAACCTCTGGACATACAAAGGCAGGAACTGGGATACCCAGTCAGGTGCTAAGGTGGACCTAAAGTGGTATTGCTATTAGTTAAAAAACAAAAACAAAAACAGACACAACCCCCCCTCCCCCCAAAGGAGTACAAGACCATACATTTGGTTATGGTTGTGTGACTGTAGGTAATAACATGAAGCCAATCCTAATGTTCAGCAGTGATCCCATTTTTTTATTGAGCATCAGTTGAAATGGCAGTTAGGAAACCTAGAAATGCATTTGTATTTAAGATACTAAATGTATACTCAGTGTTCTTGCTGATGTTGAGAAGCCTTCAATGAAAATTATTTCAAAATACAGTTGTATTGATACGTATACTATTAGGAGAAGGAAAATGAGTGCAGAGTAATTAAAAGGTGGTGTTCTAGTTAGTACTTCATTTACTTTAAAAAATTACCAATGGGTCTGGAAGGTTTTGGAAGTTATTTCAGCTTTCGGACAAGTCCGAGTGTAAGTAGTAAATTGGGATTTCAGGTAACGGCAAAAATACTTATATTCAGATCTCTTAGACCTTTTTAACGGTAGCTGCTGTGTCAGAGAACAATGCTGAACATTTGTTAAACAGCTGCCTTCATTTTGATTTCTCTTGCTACTACTAAGCTCCTTAAAGAATGCTTAGTTATTTTAAAAAGATGAGCAGAAGAAAATATTATAAACAAAGGTTGAGAAGAGGCAGTTGGATTAAAAAAAAAAAGAAGAATTAAAAAAAATTTTTTTTGACTCTTGCAATTGTTAGTTGTGTTTTTACTTTGGTAGTTGGTAGGTGGCTGCCCTAGCATGTGTTTTTGTCGGTCTGTTTGCCCTAGCATGTTTAATTTGAATGAAAAAGTATTCACTGTGGACCAGCCAAATTACTAATAGTTGAAATAAAACATTTTATAAAATTGGGTTGATCCAGCAACAGCTGTATTTAAATTTTTTTAATATTTATTGATTGATTGATTGATTGATTGATTGAGAGAGAGAGAGACAGCATGAACAGGGGAGGAGCAGAGAGAGGGAGACAGAATCGGAAGCAGGCTTCAGGCTCTGAGCTGTCAGCACAGAGCCTGATGCAGGGCTCAAGCTCACAAGCCACGAGATCATGACCTGAGCCAAAATCGGACGCTTAACTGACTGAGCCACCCAGACGCCCCAAGCAACTGTTGTATTTTAATTAAGAGAATGTGTCCATAGTCCATTTTGAATTTAGAAACTTGGTACTGGCTCTTGCTTAATAGACACTCTCATAATGCCTGGTGCCTTAGCTAAATATTTTATGTAGCTGTAGAACTTTTAGTGTTTAAACTTGAAATTTGTTCTAAAACTCTTGAGTTTTCCATAGCATTTTAGAAAGTTCAAAAGGAATTATAGTGTTCAGTTAAGTATTACTTAAATTTCTAGTATAGCACTTCTGTTTTATAAAATAATATTTGAAAAGAAAGGAGTCGTATTTACTGTGATAGATCTGTTGTTTTTCCATAGGTTGGCCCTAACAATGTTCATGTAGCTCTTTCCCTTGTTGAATACAAACCAGAACTTCAGAAAGCAATGGAATTTGTCTTTGGAACAACATTTGTTTGTAATAATATGGATAATGCAAAAAAAGTGGCCTTTGATAAAAGGATAATGACCAGAACTGTTACTCTAGGAGGTGATGTATTTGATCCTCATGGAACATTGAGTGGAGGTACGTTATGTGTTTGTTTTTTTACAAAAAATAAAAATAGTTAACATTTATTTAATTCATATTATGCCAGGTGCTTTACAATTTGCTTTTTTTTTCTAAAAAAATTTTTTTTAACGTTTATTCATTTTTGAGAGAGAGAGAGATTGAGACAGGGCATGAGTTGGTGAGCAACAGAGAGGGAGACACAGAATCTAAAGCAGGCTCCAGGCTCCGAGCTGTCTACACAGAGCCCAATGTGGGGTTCGAACTCACAAACCACAGTATGATGACTTGAGCCAAAGTCAGACACTCAACTGACTGAGCCACCCAGGCACCCTGATATACATATTTGCTCTTTTTTCTCATTCCTTACAACTATTTTATAAAGTAGTTTTTTTCCCCATTTTTTTTAGGGAATTAAATGAGAAAAGTTTAGTAATTCACTCAGTGGCAAATAGTGTTAGAGCTAGTATTTTAACTCAGTTGGATTACAGAGCTAATGTTGAACCACTACTATGGTTTCCTCTGTATGTTTATTGATAACTTATGATACTCCAGGAACCATGCCATTAATTCATTTAACGTTTCAATAGCTTATCTATGAGATAGGTACGATTATAAAAAGTAGAAGTAGAAAACAGTTATTAAGCATACTCGTTTTCTAGTGACTTGAAAATCTTGTATTGAAGTGCAAAGATCTATGGATTTGACTTTCTGTTTATTTACTTTTAAGGTTGATTGTGGTTTTTTTGGCTTTATTTACTTTTGGGCTTAAAACTAAATGATGAACAAAAAGGTAAAAGTAAAATATTAACAAGATACACAAGGTATGAGATAAACAGCAACAAAAAGAAAGCCTAGAAGACAAGAGTAATACCAAAAAAATACTCAGTACTAAATGTATTAAAAGAAAAATGATCATGCTCTATTGATTATATAAGTTTTTTTTTATTAAATTTAATTTTAGCGTAGTTAACATAGTGTGTTATATTAATTTCAGGTGTACAATTTAGTGATCCAACAATTTCATACATCACTCAGTGCTCATCCCAACAAGTACACTCCTTAATAATCCCTGTCACCTATTTCACCTATCACCCTACCAACCTTCCATCTGGTAGCTATCAGTTCTCTATAGTTACGAGTCTGTTTCTTGGCTTCTCTCTCTTTTTTCCTTTGTTCCTTAAATTGCATATATGAGTGAAATTGTATGGTATTTTTCTTTCTCTGACTGACTTATTTCACTTAGCATTATACTTTCTCAGTCCATCCATGTCCTTGAAAATGGCAAGATTTCCTATTTTATGATTGAATATTATGTCTATATATATATGTATATATATACATATGTACATGTACACACACACCACCTCTTCTTTATCCATTCATCAGTTGACAGACACGTAGGGCTGGTTACATAATTTGGATATTGTAAATAAAGCTGCAATAAACTTATGGGTGCATGTATCCCTTTGAGTTAGTGTTTTTGTGTATTTTTGGTAAACACCAAAATCGCACCAGTAGTGCAATGGATGGATGATAGGGTGGTTCCATTTTTAACCTTTTGAGGAACCTCTGTACTGTTTTCCACAGTGACTGCACCAGTGTACATTCCCACCAACAGTGCAAGAGAGTTCCTATTTCTCCACATCCTCTACCACACTTGTCTCCTGTGTTTTATTGTAGCCATTTTGACAGATGTGAGGTGATACCTCATTGTAGTTTTGATTTACATTTCCCTGATGTTGAGTGATTTTGATGAGCCTCTTTTCATGTGTCTTTTGGCCATTTGTGTTTCTTTGGAGAAATGTCTCTTCATGTCTTCTGCCCACTTTTTAGTTGGATTTTTTTGTTTTTTGAGTCAAGTTTTGTCAATTCTTTATATTTTGGATACTAATCCTTCATCAGATATGTCAGGTACAAATATCTTCTGTAGATTCTCTTTCAGTTTTGCTGATTGTTTTGTTCACTGTGCAGAAGCTTTTTATTTTCATGTAGTGCTTTCCTTTGCCTCAGGAGACGTATGTAGAAAGATGTTGCTATGACCTATGTCATTGACATCACTGCCTGTCCTCTCTTCCTGGGTTTTTATGGTTTCGGGTCTCAGCTCTGTCTTTAGTTCATTTTGAGTTTATTTTTGTGCATGATATAAGAAAGTGGTCTAGTTTTTTTTGTTGTTTTTGTTGTTGTTTTTTCCATGTAGCTGACCAGTTTGCCCAATGCCATTTGCTGAAGAGACTGTCTTTTTCCCATTAGATATTCTTACCTTCTTTGTCAAAGATTAATTGACCATATAGTTGTGGGTTTATTTCTGGGCTTTCTGTTCTTTTCCATTGATCTAGGTATCTGTTTTTGTGCTGGTACCATACTATTTCCATTCCTACAGCTTTGTAATCTAACTTGAAGCTGATACCTCCAGCTTTGCTTTTCTTTTTCAAGATTGCTTTGGTTATTTGGGGTCTTTTGTGGTTCCATATAAATTTTAGGATTCTTTGTTTTAGTACTGTGGAAAATGGATTGCATTAAAAGTGTAGATTACTTTGGGTAGTATAGACATTTTAATAATATTTTTTCCAGTCCATGAGCATGGAATATCTTTCTTTGTATCATCTTCAGTTTCTTTCATCAGTGTTATAGTGTTCAGAGTACAGATGTTTCACCCCCTTGGCTAAGTTTATTTCTAGGTATTTTCTGTTTTTGGTAGGATTGTTCATTTCTCTTTCTGCTGCTTCATTATTAGTATATAGAAAGTGCAGCATATTTCTGCACATTGATTTTGTATCCTGCATCTTTACTCAATTCCCTGATCGGTTCTAATAGTTTTTTGGTGGAGTTTTAGGGTTTTCTATATATAGTATCATGTTATCTGTAAATAGTGAAAGTTTTACCACCTCCTTACCAATTTGGATACCTTTTATTTCTTTTTGTTGCCTAATTGCCTGAGCTAGGACTGCCAGTGCTATGTTAAATAAAAGTAGTGAGAGTAGGCATTCTTATCTTGTTCTAGATCTTATAGTAAAATCTGTTTTCCCATTGGATATTATATCAGCTGTGGGTATTTCATATATGGCCTTTATTATGTTGAAGTATGTTCCCTCTAAACCTACTTTGTTGAGGGCTTTTATCATGAATGGATGTTGTACTTTGTCAAATGCTTTTTCTGCATCTGTTGAAGTGATCATATGATTTTTATCCTTTCTCTTGATGATGGATCACATTGATTAATTTGATTATGGTCAATAACTTTTTTCATGTATTGTTGGATTCGATTTGCTAGTATTTTGTTGGGGATTTTTATATATATGTTCATCAGAGATAGTGGCCTGTAGATGTCTTTTTTTTTTTTTTTTCTAGTACCTTTATCTGGTTTTTGTATCAGGTTAATGCTGGCCTTGTAAAATGAATTTGGAAGTTTTCCTTCCTTTTCTACTTTCAGAATAGCTTGAGAAATGTAGGTATTAACTCGTCTTTAAATGTTTGGTAGAATAAGCCACTTTGTCCTAGACCTTTGCTCTTTGGGAATTTTTATATTACTGATTCAGTCTTCTTGCTTGTAATCAGTCTGTTCAAATTTTTTATTTCTTCCAGTTTCAGTTTTGATAAGTTATATGTTCCTAGGAATTTATCTGTTTCTTCTGCATTGTCCAATTTGTTGGCATATAGTCCCTAATATTCTCTTACAGTTGTTTGTGTTTCTGTGAGGTTGGTTATTATTTCTCATCTTTCATTTGTAATTTTATTTGAGTCCTTTTTCTCTGTTATTTCATGGTTCTGACTGAAGATTTATCAATTTTGTTCATCTTTTTAAGGAACCATTTATCTGTTTTGTTCTTTTAATTTCTATATCGTTTATTTTTGCTCTAATATTTATTTTCTCCCTTCTGCTGTTTTGGGGTTCTGTTTTTTCTTTCTTTAGCTCCTTTAGATATAGTTGTTTGAGATTTTTTTTTTTTTTTTTTTTTTTTTTTTTTTTTTTTTTTTTTTTTTTTTTTTTTGCTTCTTGAAGTTGGCCTGTATTGCCCTAAACTTCCTCTTAGAGCTGCTTTTGCTGCATCCCAAAGGTTTTGGACTGTTTTCATTTTCATTTGTTTCCATGTATTTTAGGATTTCTTCCTTGATTTCTCGGCTGACCCATTCATAATTTAGTAGCATGTTTTAATCTTCCATATATTTATTGTTCTTTCTAGACTTTTTCTTGTGGTTGATTTCTAGTTTCATAGCATTGTGGTCAGAAAAGATGCATGATATGACTTAAGTCTTTTTGAATTTGTTGAGACTTCATTTGTGGCCTAATATGTGATCTGTTCTGGAGAATTTTCCATTTGTACCTGAAATGAATGTGTATTCTGCTATTTAGGATGGAATGTTCTAAATATATTTGTTAAATCCATCTGATCCAGTGTGTCATTCAAAGCCACTGTTTCCTTGTGGATTTTTTGATCTTTCCATTGACATTAGTGGGGTGTTAAAATCCCCTACTATTATCGTATGACTATTGATTAATTCCTTTATGTTGTTATTAACTATTTTTTATATTTGTGTATTCTCATGTTGGGTGCATAAATATTTAAAATTGTTATGTCTTCTTGTTGGATAGTTGCTTTTCTTATTATATAGTGTCCCTCTTTGTCTCTCGTTACAGTCTTTGTTTTAAAATCTATTTTGTCTGATATAAATATGTCTACTTAAGCTTTCTTTTGACATCCATTTACATGATAAATGTCTCTCCGTTCTCTCATTTTCAACCTTCAGGTGTTTTTAGGTCTGAAATGTGTCTCTCTCTTTTTTTTTTTTTTAAATGTTTATTTTTGAGAGAGAGAGAGAGAGAGAGAGACAGAGGCTGAGTGGGGGAGGGGCAGAGAGAGAGAGAGAGAGAGAGAGAGAGGGAGACAAGAATCTGAAGCAGGCTCCAGGCCCCATGCTGTCAGCACAGAGTCCAACATGGGGCTTGAACTCAAGAACCGTGATATCATGACCTGAGCCCAAGTCAGATGCTTAACTGACTGAGCCACCCAGGTGCCCCTGAAATGTGTCTCTTGTAGGCAGCATATAGTTGGGTCTTTTTTGCATTCTGTCCCCCTATGTCTTTTGATTGGAGCGTTTAGTCCATTTACATTCAAAGTAAATATTGACACGTAGGTACTTATTGTCGTTTTGTTTCTGAAGTTTTTCCCTCATGCTTTCTCCTCTTTCATGGTGTGCTGGTTTTCTTTAGTGCTATATTTGCATTCCTTGTTCTTTATCCTTTGCATGTCTATTTCTACTTTTCTATTTGGATACCATTAGATTTGTATATAACGTCGTTTGCATATAGCAGTCTATGTTATGTGATTTGCTTAAGTTTGAACCCATTCTTTACTGCTCTCCTCCCCACCTTTTAGGTTAGTGTCACATTTTACATCTTTGTATTTTGTGAATTCTTTGACTGATTTTCTACAGAAATACTTATTTTTGTAACTTCTGTGTCTCCCGCTTACATATGGTCACTTTTGGTCTTTCCTTTCCAGTCAGTTTCCTGCAGGTCTGGTTTAGTGGTCATGAGCTCCTTTCATTTTTGTTTCTCTGGGAAACTATTTTTCCTTCTATTCTGAATGATAGCCTTGCTTCATAAAGTAATCTTGGCTGCCTATTTTTCCCATTCAGCACTTTTAGTGTGTTAGGCCACTCCCTTCTGGCCTGCAAAGTTTCTGCTAGATAGCCTTATGGGGTTTCCCTTGTATGTTACTGTCATTTTTTGTCTTGCTCCTTTTTAAAATTGTTTATCACTACATGTTGACATTTTAATTACAATATATCTTTGTGTGAATCTGCTTTTGTGGATTCTGTTGGGGGTTCTCTGTGTCTCTTGGAAGTAGACATGTTTCCTTCCCCAGATTAGTGAAGTCTTCAGGTATTATTTCTTCAAAATTTCTGCCCCCTTTTCTCTGTCTTATTCTTTTGGGATCCCTACCATTCAAATAATATTACATTTGATGGGGTCACTGAGTTCCCTTAGTATACTCACTTTTTGAATAATTCTTTTATCTCACTTCTGTTCAGTTTGATTATTTTCCACCTCTCTGTCTTCTAGGTAATTAATTTGTTTCTCTTCCATTGCATCATGGGTGTTTGTAATCTCATCTGTTGCACTCTTCATCACTGATTGGTTCTTTTTATCTCTGTATTAAGGGTCTCACTGATGTCTTCCACTTTTTTCTCAAGTGCAATATCTTTATGATTATTACTTTAAGTTTTCTATCAGTCATGTTACTTGTATGTGTTTTGTTTGGATCTCTGGCTGTGGCATTGTCATGTTCTTTCATTTAGGATAAATTCCTATGTCTTCTCATTTTGTCTAAGTCTCTACCTGTTTCCATGTGTTAGGAAAGTCAGCTACATCTTCTGTTCTTAATGGTAATGGCCTGATGGAAAAGAGTTCCCTGGAGTATAGCATCCCCTGTTCTCCAGGCTTGGAGTTTCTGGGAGTATCTACAGTGTGTCCTGTGTACGTTCTGCTGTTGTGTACTGGCCTCTTTATCCTTCAGGCCAGTGGTCTACAGCAGCTCTTTTTGCCTGTCATGGGCAGTGTTTGGTCTCTGGCCTGAATGTGAAGCATTTTATTAACTAGGTATGCTCTAGTCTCCTTGTGAAATGAGACCTATTGCCAGTGGAGTCGAGGCTGCATAAAATCATAGGTTTGGAGGGGCACCTGGGTGGCTCAGTTGGTTGGGCGACCGACTTCGGCTCAGGTCATGATCTCCGTTCTGAGTTCGAGCCCCGTGTCGGGCTCTGTGCTGACAGCTCAGAGCTTGGAGCCTATTTCAGATTGTGTCTTCCCTCTCTCTACCCCTCCCCTGCTGAAGCTCTGTGTCTGTCTCTCAATAATAAACAAACATTAAAAAAAATTTTAAACTCCTATGTCTGGAGATATGTGTTGGCAAGGGTTGGACTGGTCTTTTGGGGGTAGGAGCCTACAGTGATGGGACTTGAGGCAAGCATGACTGGGAAGGGTGCATCTACCTGAGCATGGGACATGGAACTTGGTATAAGCATGTTAGGTAGCAAGTGTCTGTGCCGTATTGGTTTCCACAGATGGCCCTGTGTTTATGCTGAGGAGCAGGGAGGGAAATGGCACCTGCTAGTTCTTTGTCCTAAAGGGATCTCTCTGTGAATGCTGCCTCTCTGGGACAAGCTTCCAGATGAGCTCACAGCTTCCCCACCATGTGCCCCAGATGCTCTTCAGAAAGCAGTTACCATACTGTTTGTAGCAGGCTGTTTGCCCCACTGTGTCTCCAAAGAGGGGCTCCAGTACCCTTGGGGCTTTCCCATAGCCAAGCATGCTGACCTTTAGAACTCCAGGTTTTAATCCCCACTGGTTGCCACAACTCACAAAATTTGGTCCCTCTTTCTTTTGAAGCCAATTGCTACAGGGATTTGTATTCTCTGCATGGCCTCCCCTATGTGCTCGTGCGTCTCTGTGACTGCAGCTCCCACCCCACCACAGTGGCCGCAATCTGTTTCTCTCCCAAACTGTGTCTCTACACTTCCTGCCTTCTTTGATGTGGTCTCTTCTCTGCCTTTCCTTGTGGAGTTTCTTCTGCAGTTCAGGTCAATTTCTGGGGTATTTCAGGTGATTTGATTTGATTCAGGGGCCGAGGTGAGCCTAGGGTCTTCCTACTCTGCTTCCATCTTCCCCACAAATCTTGAAGGTAGGTTTTATATCATTTTGTCCTCAAAATTCTGTGTGGTAAATAGGATGGGGGTTTTTGTTGTTTTGTTTTTAAAATAGGAAAGTGTGGGTTTGGAATGACTTAATCCAGAGTTCTATTCCTAATTTAAGGATTGGGTTTTCTTTTGAATACCTGCTGTGTCACAGCTACTTAATAATACTGAGAAATTATCAAGTGTCATAGCCCTCAAGGAGCTCACAGCTTAGTAATCAATAGTATTACTTTCTTCTGTTCTTCTCATGTAGTCTGTTCCTGTTTTGTTTTTATTTTGTTTTTCTTGCATTTTGCCCTATTAGGATATTCTAGCCACTGGGAAATTTTTTTATTCAGTACATTTTTACTTTGCCCACTTCATCAGGAAACACTAACTTCTAATTTTTGTATGCCACTTCTCCTTTCAAAAGTAAAAGAAAAAATTAAATCTACCCTTGAGAATAAGATAATGATCATATTCTTCTTATGTGTGTCACATTGAATTTGCAGATCTATGTTGAGTGGTCGAGTAATAACAGACTGAATAGTACTTAGTACCAGGCAACACTGTAAGACTGTGCTGTCCAGTACAGTAGCCATACATGGCTGTTTACATTTAAATAAGATAAATAAAAATAATAACCTCGATTGTACTAGTCACATTTCAAGGACCCAGTGACCATTAATAGTTAATGGGTAACTGGGCAATGCAGATAGAGGACATTTTTATCCTTTAATGAAGATCTATTCTCAGTGCTTTTTCATCCTTATAGCAACTATATGGGGAGTATATTACTGTCATCTCCAGTATGCAGTGAAATAACTTGCTGGTAAGTGGCAAAGCCCAGGATTTGAAATCAAGTAGTCTGTTTTTACAGTTTGTGCCTTTAACCAAACCAAGAGACTGAATAATGACTGTTAAGCTACTAAGTGACATAATTTCTTTCTAGGCCAAGAAAACAATAGCCAACAAAGAATAAGAGGATTAGTATCTGCAATTGGAGGATAAAGAGAGATCAAATATTAAGTATCTAAAATAGGAGAAACTTTAGATTTCATTGATTTGGATGTTCTTGAAGTTCCTACTTAGGAATGGCAAATATGCAACTCTTTATCATATTAACAAATAACAAAGTGCTCATAATAGCATCGCTAATTGACTTTTGTATTCTCCCATCAAACCTAGAGTATTCTTGCCAATGTAACCTAGTATTGTCAGACATTCACAGTTGTTTGTAAAGTGAAACCAATTTAGCTGCTTCCTCTGCTATATCAAAGTTCAGGCCAGGTTATGATGTGGTGGTAAATAGCCCCCAAATCCCAATGGTTTACAAGTTCATTCAATAATTATGCTTCTTTACCTGTAGATCAGTTATTTCTGTTCAGTGTTATTCTTATTGTGGGACCCAGACTGAAGGAAAAATAGCCCTTACTGTGAACATGCTTTTCTCATGGGAGAGAGGAGACAAATGATGAATTATGTGCTGTCTTTTAAGCTTACTTTCAAAAAAGGCACATTTTTCATTTCATTGGCCAGAGCCAATCACGTGGCTAAGCTGATACTATCGGAGAGATTAGTGGCCCTGGGAGGGGTGGGCCTAGAAGGCAGGGGCAGTGATTATTTGAATGAATAATCCATCACATCTTCTTAGAAGTATTTCTTATCAAGTATGTATGTCCTGAGATTCCAATGATGCATTGAAATCTGTATCTTCATAAGCTCACTATAAAAGATTTGCTGTTGAATCTTTTCAAGTATAATTCTCAGAAATTTTTTTATTGTTTACTAAATATGTGGTAACTTAATGACTAAGGTCTGTTTCAATTTGCTTCAATCAGGTGCTCGATCCCAGGCAGCTTCTATTTTAACCAAGTTTCAAGAACTCAAAGGTGTTCAAGATGAGCTGAGAATTAAGGAGAATGAGCTACAGGCTCTAGATGAGGAATTAGCAGGTCTTAAAAACACAGCTGAAAAGTAAGACTTTGTTGAATTAAGTTGTATTTTTAAGTTTCTTTTTGGTCAAAGATTTGCATGGTAGAAGATGAAAGAATTTTAGCTAAAGAAATACAACTTCTGACTTTTATCAGTTAGCTTTTTCTGATAAGAATGTCATTGTTATAAGAAATTAGGGAAAGCTAATTAAAAGGAAGAAAAAACATCAACCAAATATTTTTCTTTCCCTGTTGAGATATACTGTTAACATTCTACTGGGATTGGTGGGGAAATCCATACTCTGGATGTTGATACCAGAGGGTACTGGAGTCTTTGATTTGAAATGATACACAATGTAGCATTGATCAGATACCAACATTAAGTTTAGTAGCATCGTGGCTATCCTATACATTATTAAAGATCACTGAGCTGCCTACTGAGGCATGTAAGAAAGTCACTGTTGAAGTGTTTCCTTACTGTGTTTCTTTTGTAGGGGTATGGGTATGCATATGTATGTGTACCTTTCAGTATTACTTCTGTTTGTGTATGGTACAGGTACATTTTTTTTTTTTTTAATTGGCGTCATGCTACCTCATGTATCTTTTCATCACTTAACGTCAGTGCCAAGTACTCTTGTAGGAGCTGGGAATACAGCAGCGAACCAAACATAAATCTCTTCCTTCTTCTTGCTTTCAAAGTTAAATTGGTAAAACATGTTAGGTAACACAGTTCTAAGAGGAAAAATGCCACAAATCTACAGTCTCCAAAGATGACAAATGGGAAAGGAGTTAAAATTAAAATCAGACATTTTATTCAGAATTCACAATACTGAACAAAGGTTAAAAATCATATATAAGTAAACTTCAAAATATATATGGTTTTGTAAATTTTAAACATTCATCTTCTGAAATTATCAAAACTTAGAATGTTGCCAAGACTTTTTTGGGATATTATATGTATAGAAGAGATGCTCATAATTAGTCAAAGTGGTCATTCCAACATAGACATTATATCAAAATGCCCACTCTCAAATATATACATACAAAGCCTGCTTTTACCTTCTTTAACATAAATTACCAAAAAGTGAATATCTGTGGAAACTTTGGCAAGGCAATGAGTTTGCAGCTGGCATTTGGCTTGGTGCTGTTACCTTTATTCAGTAGTATTGGATCATTTATTTTGCAGAGTTGTCTTGTGGACTGATAGTGGCATTGAGGTTAAGGAAAGGAAATAGATTTTTAAAAATATGAGAGTGGAAGTATCAACTAAAGCCATTCTTTCACAGACCATATCAGGAAAATAGCTTTTATCTTTTTTTTTTTTTCAAGTTTCTATACTCCCCATTTTTAAATGAATTGAAAAATGGCTTTAAAATTACAGTTTTAATTGCTGTCAAGCATTCTCAGCCAAGAATACTCAAGGGAGTATTTATGTTTTATAAGTTGCTTCCTTTTTCCTCAGACCTCATGAATTTCTAGTGTCAAGCTGCCTTGTGAATTTATTACAACTTGATATTTCACTGCGGCTGAATTAGCTAAATACCTTCCAAAGAAAATATTAAGCAGCTAGAAATGGGCTAGATTACAGGGTTTGCAAGAAGAGCACAATGTAATGTTTAGTTCAGTACTAGGTCTTTTAAAACTATCAGTCTCATTACAGAATGTTGGGGGGAACTTTTTATTAGTATTTGAAAATGGGAATTGATAACCAGATTTTTGAAATTTTGTGTGATTGTTGCATATTAGTGTATTCTTGTGGGAAGCTGTTGTGGAGTTTGGAGTTTTTTTTCTTGGTAAGGCTCAGTAGAAGAGACCGTTTTTAAGGAAACCTATTTATTTAAAGGTTATATTTAGTGCTTTCTAAAATTAATATTTCTGTAAATAGTTGTCAGCCTTGGCCGTTTAGAGTCGTTTACCTTCGGTGATCAAATCAGACTTGAATTTGATTCCTCAAAAACTGAGTCTTCAAAACTATTCTTGTAATCAGTGGCATCTTAACATTGTTTATATTGAGGGGCACCTGCGTGGCTCAGTCGGTTGAGCAACCGACTTCAGCTCAGGTCATGATCGCATGGTTTGTGAGTTCGAGCCCCACGTCGGGCTCTGCTGACAGCTCAGAGTCTGGAGCCTGCTTCGGAGTCAGTGTCTCCCTCTCTCTGTGCCCCTCCCCACTCATGCTCTGTCTTTCTCTGTCTCAGAAATAAATACACATAAAAAAATTGTTTATATTGTATGTGAGTTTATTTTAGGCAAGAGCCTATTGTTTGAATGCATGTCTCAAATATCAGAAAAGTTGTGACCATTTATTGTAAACTTCTCTTTTTCTAAGGTATCGCCAACTAAAACAGCAGTGGGAGATGAAAACTGAGGAGGCAGATTTATTACAAACCAAGCTCCAGCAAAGCTCCTATCACAAGCAACAAGAAGAATTAGATGCCCTTAAAAAAACCATTGGTAAGATAAAAACATTCTGTGCTTCCTCTGTTTATACTGATAAACAGAGTATCATCTGTTTAGATATTTAGATCTCATCTTTATTATATATTTATTTGAATTAGTTACCTTAAATATTTTAATTATTAGATACTATTATATTGCCAAGTTCTGCCCATTTGGAGCAGTATACATTTCCACCAGTGGCATATGAAAGTTGTCAGTTCTCTAAATCCTTTCTTTTCTAGAAAGTCTTTAAAATATCTCCAATGTGATTGTTAGAAAGAGGTAGCACATTACTGTTTTCACCTGCAGATATTGCAGGGGAAGCCTAGAATCTATTTGATCTGTTCCTCAGACCTTTTGGTTTCTACTTCTGTGAATATTCTACTTCTTTTCAACCATTTTTCCTATTGACTTGCTTATGGTTTGTTTCTGTTGTTCTCATAATCTATAAGAAATCGTAACTCTTATCTGCATTATGAATATCTTTTGGTTTATGTGCTTGTCTTTTAATTTTGTTCATAGTATTTTTGTTAAACAGAAACTTTTAATGTTTAATTCAATTTATAGCTGCTTCTACAGAACCCTCATTTTAAGAACTTGTCTTACACTTTTAATTAGAATTTAATTGTATATGGTAGTTTTAGTTTTTCTCATTCCATAGGACAATATCCACCTACCTATTACCCACTAATATTTTCTTTCCTTTTTATAAAATTTAAAAAATTTACCCATTTTGTTTACCCCCTATCTCTGGCAACCACCAATCTGTTTTCTGTACTAAGATTTTTTTAATTGGTTAAGATTCCACATGTAAGTGATATTATATGGTATTTATCTTTCTCTTTTTTTCATTTAGTATAATGGCTTTGAGTTCCATCCATGTTTTTGCAAATGGCAAGATCTCATTCTTTTTTTATAGCTGAGTAATATTCCATTATATATACACACACATTTTCTTTACCCATTATCCATGAGTAGATGCTTACCTAAGTTGTTTCCATATCTTGGCTATTGTAAATAATGCTGCAGTGAACATTGTGGTGTGTATATATTTTTGAGTTACTGTTTTTGTTTTCTTCAAATACCCAGGAGTAGAACTTTTACATCATATCTATTTTTATTTTTTTGTGGAACCTCCATACTGTTTAACATAGTTGCTGCAGTAATTTGCATTCCTCCCAACAGTGCATGAGGGATTCCCTTTTCTCCACATCATCTCTGACACTTGTTATTTGTTTTTTTTTTGATAATAGCCCTTCTAACGTGTATCTATCTTATTGTGATTTTGATTTGCATTTCCCTGATGCTTAGTGATGTTGAGCATCTTTTCATGTACTGGGTGACTATGTATCTGCTGTAGAAAAGGGTCTATTCAGATACGCTACCCGTTTTTTAATCAGACTGTTTGGCTTTTTCTTTTGAGTTGTAGGAGTTTCTTACATATTTTGGGTGTTAACCTCTCATCGATATGATTTGCAAATATTTTCTCCCATTAATTATGTTGTCTTTTCAGTTTGTTGCTCTACAGAAACTTTTTAGTTTGATAATTGTCCCAGTTATTTTTGCTTTTGTTGTGTTTGCTTTTGGTGTGAAGTCCAAAAAAAATCACTGTTAAGACCAGTGTCAAGGAGTTTATCACTTATGTTTTCTTCTAGGAGTTTTATGGTTTCAGGACTTACATTCAGGTCTTTAACCTATTGAGTTAATTTTGATATGTAGCATAAGATAATGGTGCAGTTGCATTCTTTGGCATGTGGCTGTCCAGTTTTCTAAGCACCATTAATTGAAGAAACTGTTCCTTCTTCATTGTATGTTCTTGGCTCCTTTGACCATTCATGCATGGGTTTATGACAATTTATTTCTGGGCTCTGTTTTGTTCCATTGATTGGTGTGTCTTTTTTTTTTTATCATTTTATTTTTTTTTAATTTACATCCAAATTAGTTAGCATATAGTGCAACAATGATTTCAGGAGTAGATTCCTTAATGCCCCTACCCATCTAGCCCATCCCCCCTCCCACAACCCCTCCTGGTGTGTCTATTTTTAATGCCAATTCCATACTGTTTTGATTACTATAGCTTTGTAATATAATTTAAAATAAGGAGTGTGATGCCTCTGCCTTTGTTATTCTTAAGATGGCTTTGGCTATTCCATACAGATTTTAGGATTCGTTTGTTTCTGAAAAAATGCCATTAGAATTTTGATAGGGATTTTTAACGGATCTGTAGATTGCTTTGGATAGTATGGACATGTTAACAGTATTCTTCCAGTCCATGAGCACTGAATATCTTTCCATTTATTTGTGTCTTTTTCAGTTTGTTTTATCAATAAGTGCATTATAGCTTTATGTGTACAGTTCTTTCTACCTTCTTGGTTAAATTTATTCCTAGGTATTTTATTCTTTTTGATGTAATTATAAGTAGGATTATTTTCTTACTTTCTCTGATAGTTATTATTGTATAGAAATGCAACAGATTTTTTTATATTGATTACATATCCTGCAACTTTACAGAATTTGTCTATTCTAACAGTTTTTTAGTGGAATCTTTAGGGTTTTCTATATATAATAGATCATCTAGAGAAAGTTTTACTCCTTTCGAATTTGGATGCCTTTCTCTTTTTTTTTTTTTTTTTCCTCTTTTTTCCACATTGCTCTAAGTAGGACTTAAGGACTATGTTCAATAAAAATGGAGTCAGTCTTGACTTGTTTCTGATCTTAGAGGAAAAATTTTCAGCTTCTCACTGTAGATAGGGTATGATGTTAGCTGTGGGCTTCAGTTTTATCATAAATGGATGTTGAAATTGGTCTAAGCTTTTTCTGCACCTATTGAGAACATGCTTTTTATCCTTCATTTGGTTAATGTGGTGTAGCCCATTGGTTGCAGATGTTAAACCAGCCTTGCATCTTTGAAATAAATCCCATTTGATCATGGTGTGTCATCCTTTTAATGTATTCTTTAATTCAGCTTGCTGGTATCTGTTGAAGATTTTTGTGTTTGTGTTCATCAGGGATATTAGGCAGTAACTTTTTTCCTTTGGTGTCCTCTGGTTTTGGTATCAGGGTAATGCTGGCCTTAATAGAATGAGTTTAGAAGTGTGCCCTCCTCTTCTGTGCTTTGAGAGACTGTGAATTCACCAGTGAAGCCATCTGGTCCTGTACTTTTGTTTGTTAAACAGAGATTTTTGATTACTGATTCCGTCTCCTTGTTAATAATTGGTCTGTTCAGATTTTCTATTTCTCATGATTGTCTTCGTAGGTTGTATATTTCTGGGAATTATTGTTTCTTCTAGGTTGTCCAATTTGTTGGCATATAATTGTTTATAATACTCTCTTGGGATTCTCTGTTTCTGTGGTAGCAGTTGTGTCTCCCTCGTTTTTCTGATTTTACTTGATTCCTCTCTTGTTCTTAGGCTGGCATGAGGTGTATCAATTCTTTCTGAGAAGTAGCTTTCACTTTCATTAATCTTTTCTATTATCTTTTAGTCTCTTTCATTTTACTTTTGCTCTGATCTTTATTTCCTTCCTTCTACTAACCTTGAGCTTTGTTTTTTGCTTTTTAGTTCCTTTATGTGTCAGGTTTTTTGAGATTTTTCTCCTTCCTTGATGGAGGCAGCACTATAAACTTCACTCTTAGAACTGCATTTGCTGCATCCCATTAAGTTTTGGTATGTTGTATTTCCATGTTAATTTGTTTTAAGGTACTTTTTAAATTTTTTCTTTGATTTTTATTTGCAGTGATATTGTGCACTGAAAAGTAGCATAGGATATTATGTAGTTAATGGTCTCCAGGGTTGTATTTGTATCTGCATTCTAAAATTTTTTTTTTTTTTTTTTCAACGTTTATTTATTTTTGGGACAGAGAGAGACAGAGCATGAACGGGGGAGGGGCAGAGAGATAGGGAGACACAGAATCGGAAACAGGCTCCAGGCTCTGAGCCATCAGCCCAGAGCCTGACGCGGGGCTCGAACTCCCGGACCGCGAGATCGTGACCTGGCTGAATTCGGACGCTTAACCGACTGCGCCACCCAGGCGCCCCTCCAGACCACCTTTTAATATACTTGTAATATGCTTCCTAAGCCAGAACAAGAGTATAACTATGGTATTTCTCCTTTACTTAGTGGACAAAAAGCTTAATTTCATAAACAAACGTACATTGTATTCTTTGCCTATTTAGCTCTAATTTGTACAGGAAAAAAAAGCAAGATAAAATGAGTAGATTAGTGTCACAATTGCCATACACTGTGTTAGAATGCAGATACAGGGGCGCCTGGGTGGCGCAGTCGGTTAAGCGTCCGACTTCAGCCAGGTCACGATCTCGCGCTCCGTGAGTTCGAGCCCCGCGTCGGGCTCTGGGCTGATGGCTCAGAGCCTGGAGCCTGTTTCCGATTCTGTGTCTCCCTCTCTCTCTGCCCCTCCCCCGTTCATGCTCTCTCTCTCTCTGTCGCAAAAATAAATAAATGTTGAAAAAAAAAATTTAAAAAAAAAAAAAAAAAAAGGTGGTCTGTGATCTTTTTAGTAAGTTAAAGACAAAATTTGTTACTCAGTTTCATAGGCTGGGAAATAATTTCCTCATAGTCTTTAGATAATTCAAGTGTGGTTCTTAGGCAGGGTTTATGTTTCAACGTAGCATTTCTAGAATAAGGTTGGAACAGTTTTTTTAAATTTTAGCCTAAATTCTTTAGATCATATCTTCTGTTAAAAGGTGAATTCATAAGGCACTCATAAACCATTGCCTATAACTGCTAATAGTTCAAGGACCTCATTTAGCTACATTTGCCTGCTTTATGATGCAGAGGAAAGTGAGGAGACTTTAAAAAACACCAAAGAAATTCAGAAAAAAGCAGAAGAAAAATATGAAGTATTGGAGAATAAAATGAAAAATGCAGAAGCTGAAAGAGAGAGAGAACTGAAGGATGCTCAGAAAAAACTGGATTTTGCCAAAACAAAAGCAGATGCTTCTAGCAAGAAAATGAAAGAAAAACAACAGGTAATACCTTTCTTGAAATGGAACCAATCTTTAACATCAGTATAGAGCTGAAGGTGGTAGAGCATCTTGGGTTAGCCTCACTCATCAGTGTTCATCACAAAATCTAAAAGCACAGTATGCTTCTTTAGGAAATAATTATGCGTCGTGTGAGTCAAATTAAAACATTCCTTTCTGAAAACCCTGTAATGGAGTGTCATAATGGTAAGGATAGGTTGCATTGTCTTTCTAATTTAGAGAAAGAGCAAAATTGCCTTTTGGTAAATGCTGCACTTAAGAGTAGACCAAAGCTTATGTCATGCGGTGGAGGTATGTCCTATCAGCTCCAAGTGTTGACATTTTTATTTGGTGATCATCTATGAATGGATCCTGTGAAAGATTGATATATGACAAAGCATGTTATATTTACAAAGTACCATTCAGTTGTAGACTGGTGATACCTGATTTTATCTTTTGATAGTGCCACAGATGGAATTTGAACCTAGCCTTTTCTGCCTCCAAAGGCTTTGTTCTACATCACTTTTCTATATGATTCTATTTAAATCTGCTTTTCTTCATATTCTGTCACTAAATAGCTGCACAAAGTATTTTCTAACAAACTAAAGGCTACAGAGGGAAAGAAGAAAATTGAGCAGCTGGGTTTTTTTGACATTTAAAAAAGGCTTTTCCTTTGCTAATTTATCTGTTAACGTAGAATTCTAGATTGTTTTTCCCTGTAGGAATAACAAAATAAACAGTTTATGCCCAGTTCTTTGAACCTGTAAAAACTACATACATTTGTAATGTTTAACTAAAGGAAAATAAATTTTCTTTCTCCTCCCTTTTTCTGGAGAAGCAGCTTATATGTGTTTTGGTAGTTGAATAAGCTGTGGGTGTTACTTGCATGGGAATCTTAATAATTTTGTTGACATGTATCTATTTTTCAGTAGTTAATGGTCTGTTGAATGTCTGAATAACATTCTTTTAGGAAGTTGAAGCTATCACTCTGGAGCTGGAAGAGCTCAAGAGAGAGCATGCATCCTATAAACAACAGCTTGAAGCTGTAAATGAAGCTATCAAATCCTATGAAGGTCAGATTGAAGTAATGGCAGCTGAGGTGGCTAAAAATAAGGTACTTACCGTGCTGGAGAAATTACAAATGTTAATCCACTTATGAAATGTTGGCTTGAAGATGTTTGACTTTAGAAGTCTTGATCTCTTCATTCTTTACTTATTGAGACAGAGAAAGAGCATGAGTGGGGGAGGGGCAGAGAGTGAGACTCTCAAGCAGAGTCCTATGTGGGGCTCAAACTCACAAACCCTGAGATCATGACCTGAGCCGAAATGAAGAGTCGGACGCCTAACCGACTGAACCACCCAGGTGCCCCTCTTCATTCTTGTCTTGATGAGAGGCAAAAATGATGATTCCTGATCCAGAAAGAGTCCTGAAATAATATTACTAATTGTTTTAATCTGGGTCTACTCAGAAGACGAAAACTACACAGTAATTTTTTTGTTGTTGTTGTTTTTTCAACGTTTATTTATTTTTGGGACAGAGGGAGACAGAGCATGAACGGGGGAGGGGCAGAGAGAGAGAGGGAGACACAGAATCGGAAACAGGCTCCAGGCTCTGAGCCATCAGCCCAGAACCTGACGCGGGGCTCGAACTCCCGGACCGCGAGATCGTGACCTGGCTGAAGTCGGACGCTTAACCGACTGCGCCACCCAGGCACCCCAAAACATATCTAACTTTTAAAATTCTACAACATGATGTCCATGAAAGACAGCAAAAATATGCACGGGAAAAATGAGATTAAGACAACAATCAGAAGGGAACTAAAAATATTTTTAAAAACTAAAATTTACTTTGGAGGCAAAATAAAAACTGAACAGAAACTAAAAAATTTAATCAGTAACACAGAACACAAAGCTGAAAAGCATTTTGATCTTAACTTCAAAAAAAGTAGTTAAAAACTGTTCTATTGATTTGATAAATAATGGGTTAAAAACAAAAAACTTTAATTTATCCATGAAGAGAATCAAGAGGAAAGACCTACTTTCCAAAAACACTATAGGCTACAACAATTACAACAATCATATCAAAGGAAAACATAAAAGCATGTAGAGGACACAAACAAGACAAAAATACCACACTGAAAACTGAATGGAACTACCCTGTTGAAAGCTATTACATTCAGTTAACATAAAAATCAATGTTAGTTACAAACGGTATCAATTAGCAACACGAAACAAAACTTAAAAAACATGATGAGTGTAGTCAGTGGTACTGTATATTTAAAAGTTGCTGAGGCAGTAGATCTTAAAAGTTCACATCACAAAAAATATTTGTAACTGTGTGGTGAGGGATTAACTAGATTTATGGGTTGGTCTTTTTGCAACATATACAAATAACAAATCATTATGTTGTATACGTGAAATTAATATAGATCAATTATACCTCAATATGAAACAAAGCAATACAAAGACAAAATCAAAGAAAGGGGCAAGAGAATTTCCAATATTCATTAGGGACAATCTCTAATAAAGATATACCACAGTATGAATTTGCAGGTGACAGAATGTCTTCATAACGTTTGAAATATCCTCAGTCCTAAATCCATCCTTCACTTCCCTGCTTCTGATAGAACATTTCTCCCCAACCAGCTGCAACTATAGTCAGCCTCAATAGTAAAGGATGCTGTAAGGAAACTGTAGAAAGAAGAGGCTTTACTTCCCAGTTCTGGTGTGCTTTTCTCAAAGGCAAGTTTGTCATGTGCAAGGGCCCGCAACCTACATGGCTTCCCTGGCATCCAGCAGATGGGGAGAGGGGAACAGGGCTTTGCAACATGTTCACATGGGCTAATTTCCCCTACATCCCACGTGGCACTTCCCTATGGATGACTACCCATGGCACTCCAGCAAACTTCACAACCAGGGGGCCACAGTTACATCTTCAACTAGATCTGGTTTTCAGCCTATAGTTGCTATGGCTCTTTTCCAATTTGTTCCTTCCATGGGTGCACTCCCTCAGCCCTAAGGGTGGTAGTGGCTATTCCCTGTAAGGGCTGTTCCTATATAATTTAGAATTCTCTTTATTCTTTAGGGATCATCCCTTATCATTCCAAACTCCTACTGTAGTTAAATTTTTTATTTAAACTCTGCCTGTTCAAATTACTGTGTAGTTTTTTTTCCTTGTGGTTTGCATCATGAAGATCCATTCTTCCTCAGAAACTTAAAGCAGGTTGTCCTACTTTGGTTTTCCCCCTACCTAAATATGGGTTGAACTAGGTTTTTTTGGTTTAGATATTTGTGTGAGTTCTTTCAAGATTTGGGTGAAGCAATGGGATTTGCAGGGCAGGTTGGTGATAGACTGAATTGCAGTTACAATTACCACTTCTGACATTGAGTAGCTCCAACCTTGGGAGGTAGGGGGATATTCAGAGTCAAAGCAAGAAAGTTTTTCTTTGTGCCACAAATCTATTTATTGAAAAAAGTTTCTTGTATTTTTCTGTTTTGACCCTTGTGCTAGAACCAAACATTATGACCTTCTGTTGCACCGATAAATATGGCTTATATCTACAAAGGGAAGAGCAGAAAACCCGGCCTACATCCTTCCCTTCCTGATAAATGACATGTGGGGATCTGGCATAGTGTCTTCTTGTTAACTACCCAGAAATGCCACTTTACTGAGACCTCACAAGTCAGTTTCCTGTAGTTCACTGTATCCCCAGAAACTTTGTTGCTTCCAGCACGAACACTGTATCCCATCTTTTTTCTAGTGATAGAACAAGTTTTCTCCTATATGCAAATTAATTAGTCATTTTAATGGGGATATACAATGTAGAGGGTTAGGTGACCATCTGCCTGTAATCACATTGCCATCTTGCCCAGACGCTTTTTAGATGATCTTTTTATGCCCACATTACTTTGCTATATATCATCTTCTATTTGTTTCAGGAGTCCGTAAATAAAGCTCAAGAAGAGGTGACCAAGCAAAAAGAAGTGATAACAGCCCAAGACAATGTAATTAAAGCTAAATATGCTGAAGTTGCAACACACAAGGAACAAAACAATGATTCTCAGCTTAAAATTAAGGAACTGGACCACAACATCAGCAAACATAAACGGGAAGCTGAAGATGCTGCTGCAAAGGCACGTTTGTGGTGTTTATTTCTACCCGTAATCAGATTTTTGCTTCTGAGTTGTTGAGATATTCTGGTAAACTGCTCAATGGAGAATTCAGTATAAATGGCAGAAATACGGTATAACAGAATTTTGAGGCTTACTGCTATTTTAATGGCTTCTCAGCAATGCTTATTTTTACCACCTGGCATAAATCTTTCTAAATTTCAGGTATTTATTCCTATGTATAAGATGTTTCAGTGGTCTCCCATAGAACTAACCATTTTTTAATCCCCAGATATTCAGATTAATATATTAGTTGTGATTATATATTTTGTTGCCTGTGAGTTTTCAATTTATTTTGAAATAAGGTAAATGATATATATTTACAGGCAACTTCCAAAACCAGGACTTAATTGGCTTCCAGATGTCCTTAAGAGGATCAGTATAGTCAATTTTGCAGCCTCATCTGAAATCTGATGTTTTGCTAGCAGCTGTCTTTTTTGAAGTTATCTCAGTTTTTTGTTCACTCCTGAAAGTTTCTTTCTGGGGCACCTGGGTGACTCAGTTGGTTAAGCGTCTGACTCTTGGTTTCCTCTCAGGTCATGATCTCACAGTTCATGAGTTTGAGCCCCACATCGGGCTCTCTGCTGACAATGGGGAGTCTGCTTAGGATTCTCTTTCACCACCTCTCTCTATCCCTCCCATCCCCCTCAAAAATAAGTAAACATTAAAGAGAATACATGCTTTTGCAGAAATTCGCTGCTTGGTTAAGAGGCTGCACTCATGAAATCTTAGTAATTTGCCCATCATGTTTTCTTACGAGTGTGTAACCATTTGATGCCTTTTAAATCTTGTTTAGCATCTTAAAAGTATAAGAGATTTAACTTCAAAAAAGTCAGAACATACAAAATAGTCACCCCAACCCTCTGAAAGAGCCCTGTGTGACTGTTCAGGCTCACACTTAAAGAAAATATTTTTTCATAGCCACATCACTAAATCCTAATATTTTTTTGTATTGATTTTCCATTAGCCTGGTAGCCTCGTATTAGTGGATTCACTGAAATGTTACCAATGTTAATATTACTGTTAATAGGTTTTTGGTAATTGAAAGTGCTAGTAGTGGTGATTGCTATGGGATTTTATTTACGGTTAAGGTGAAAAGGAGAGTTAAAAGTGGAACTGCTAACAAGTCCAGGATTCTTTGAAGTCTATAGTTTGTTAAATATTAATTACATACCAACTAGTATCAGATAGTAGTAGGCCAGGCACTAATGATAAGGATGAGCAACATGTACCCAGAATGCTTTCATTGACCCTATGGATCAGCAGGGAAGGTAGATTGGAAATGATCATCTTTGGAGCCTGGAGGTGAGACCGTTCCCCTGGAATTAATGAGGATAAACAGACTGACAAGGATTAGACTCTATCAGTCAGAACCAACCTTGAACAATTTTAGTAGAAGAAAGTCTTCTTTAAGCACTATAATCTAAAATTTTTTTTTAACTCTTTTTACCATATAAAGAAATACATTACTGTGCCTTGTCAAAAGAGGGTGACTAGGCAATGGAGTCAAAGTTTAGAGCGGCTTTTTATTTACCTAGTATATTTTAGAATTATAATCAGTCAGGGGCGCCTGGGTGGCTCAGTCGGTTGAGCTTCCGACTTCTGCTCAGGTCATGATCTCACAGTCTGTGAGTTCGAGCCCCGCGTCAGGCTCCGTGCTGACAGCTCAGAGCCTGGAGCCTGCTTCAGATTCTGTGTCTCCCTCTCTCTCTCCCCCGTTCATGCTCTGTCTCTGTCTCAAAAATAAAATAAAACATTAAAAATTTAAAAAAAGAGAGAATTATAATCAGTCAGAATTAGGCTTCCACAAATTTACCAAATCTATGACTTAAGTATTCTTAAGAGAATTTTAATTTTCACAAATTATTTTTGAAGCAATAGATTGAGTTCGGTAAAATCTGAAGGAGGCTTATCTTATATTCTAATGGAAATGATTTACATGTATAAATTTCTCTGAGCTAGCTTTTCTTTTAATGCTTAGGTAATCTTTTTCCTATACAATTTTTTTTTAACCTATTCTCTAGGTAAAAATATTCATACTTAATAGTAAACCTATACTAACAGTGAACCTCATTTTTGCAGATGAGTCATTGTGGGGTTTTCTCCTAAATACTTAAAATTAGTAAACATTTAAGAAACTAGTTTTTGTTTTTTAATTTTTTTTTTTAATGTTTATTTATTTTTGAGACAGAGAGAGACAGAGCATGAACAGGGGAGGGGCAGAGAGAGAGGGAGACACAGAATCTGAAACAGGCTCCAGGCTCCGAGCGGTCAGCACAGAGCCCAACGTGGGGCTCGAACTCACGGACCATGAGATCATGACCTGAGCCGAAGTCGGACGCTTAACTGACCGAGCCACCCAGGTGCCCCAGAAACTAGTTTTTAAATGTCGGTTTGTAAACAATGATAGATTCCTCCATTATCCTCCGTGGCTAGGTCTCCAAAATGTTGAAGGACTATGACTGGATTAATGCAGAGAAACACCTCTTTGGGCAACCTAATAGTGCCTATGATTTCAAAACCAACAACCCAAAAGAAGCTGGTCAGAGACTTCAGAAGTTGCAAGAAATGAAGGAGAAACTAGGAAGAAATGTCAACATGAGAGCTATGAATGTACTGACAGAAGCTGAAGAGCGGGTAAGTCCTTTTCCTTGGACTCTCTGGCCTCCTTAGGGAATGAGTAGCACTAATAGCTCTCTGTGACCCCTGTGGCCATTACTAGAGTCAGTCTTTGGCTTGATACTCTTGATACTGGATTTGTTTTCTTGTTCTCCCTTTTCAGTTCTCTCTTGCTTGTTTTTGCATCAATTATTTATATAGTCTATTGTCCCTTGAAAAGCTTTTCTACTGGCTTTGCCCAGAATACCATCTATCCTTTTCTTATTCTTGGTATAAATAAGAACATTTTTTCATGATTACTCCTCCCATTTCTATAATTTCTTTCAGTTGCCTTGAAAAGGCCTTGAAAAATAAGGCTCCTCTGCTGTGTGCCTCCTTACCAGTCATTCCATAAATACGGTGTTCCTTTTGACTCTAGGGTATACTAGAACCATTACATAAGTAATGACTAAAATTGTTATATGCATAACCACTCCTTTCCTAATCTGTAAATCCAGCATCATCTTCTGTTTTAATGTTCACTTACGCAATAATGTTATCATCTCCCCAACCCTGACAGAACTTTGAATCCGCTGTGTCACTAGAAAAATCCACAGGGAAAAGCAATTCATATTCTCAACAGCTCCATAGGAGATAGCAGTCTAATTTTATATAATGCCCTATACTTTATTTTTTGTAAGATTCTGTTTGAATTTGTATCAGAGAGTTATGAGAACTTTCTAAAAGTGGCAATACTTATGAGCTCCATTACTTCTAAAAAGTTTTGCTGTACTGGGTTTTTTTAAATTGTTATTGACATTACTATCTACAAAGAACCTGTATTATGTTAGATACCAAACAGGCTAATAATGCCCGTGTTGTGATCTCTCTATAAATGTTCCCGCTGGTTTTTATTTCTCCATTAAAGCTTTGCAATATATGTTTTGTGGAAGAAAATCTTTGGTCTGAATTTGAACTGTGTATCGTGAAACTTGTTCACTTGTTTGCTTTTATCAGATAATAATAATTGGGTCTTTTTTTTAAAAAAATTCACCAACTCGCTTTCTTACCCAAAGGGAAGGATCTATTGTTGATAAGCAAGATGGCCTTTTTTTTTTTTTTTTAATGTTTATGTATTTGAGAGAGTGAGAGAGCATGGGGAAGGGGCAGAGAGCAGGAGACAGAATTGTAAGCAGGCTCCTCACTGTCAGCGCAGATATGGGGCTCGAACTCAAAAACTGTGAGATCATGACCTGAGCTGAAATCAAGAGTTCGACGCTTAATCGTCTGAGCCACCCAGGTGACCCTTGTTTTGTTTTGTTGTATTTTGTGTCTGTACACATAAGAAATTGAATTATGCAAGGAATAAGAGAAAAATGTAGAGGAGGTTTTAGGAGCTTTGCTATAAAGGAGAGAGACAGCAAGGAAGCTAACAGGACTGGTTACAATTTAAGGGAGAATTTGAAGACTCCTTGAAATGTGAGGCTTTGAGGAGAAAGGAGTTAAGATTTTCATAAAGTTCTGTTGCTACTTATGGTGTAATTCTCCCTTTGCAGCCTCCTTTAAATTTTTTTCAGTGAGTTTCTACATTAACCAGGGAAAGCCCATTCTGAAGATGTGATGTTTGAGCTGAAACTTGAAGCACCAATTATGTCGTATACAGAAAAAGAGCATTCAGGGAAGAGAGAACAATGCAAGGGCTATAAGGCTATATAATGAGCTTCTTATGTTCAAGGAACTGAAAAAAGACCACATGGCTGGCCCCTGGGGAGGATTGGGATGTCAAAAAGTCGGAGATAAATAAGGGCCCAATTATGTAGGACTTGGACATCATGGTGAAGAACTGAAACGTTGTGTTAGTTACTAAGACTGACCTCAAGAAGAAAGCATGCAGGGCTACTTTTGAGTTTACATACATTTTCCTTTTTGCCTTGACTACTAGAAGGATATGAGAATATCAGTATCAAAGTACCCCAGGAGCTTGTCCTATAAATTCTTAATTATGGCAGCTAAATTTTACATATAGGCCATATATTTACCTTTCTCATAATTTGGTTCACGTTATGACTCTTAATGCAGTGTATCTTTCTGGTAAACAGAAGTGTATATATTCTACATACAAACTAAACCTCTATTCCTGACTGAATTCTAGAATAGAAAATTTTACATTTTTTCAATTAAGCATGCTTTTTATCTTACCAGTATAATGACTTGATGAAGAAGAAGAGAATTGTAGAAAATGATAAATCCAAAATCCTTGCAACTATAGAAGACCTTGACCAGAAGAAAAACCAAGCCCTAAATATTGCGTGGCAAAAGGTATTTGAACCCAAAATATTATCATTTATTCTTTGTGAGGCAAAGATGAAGAATACTGTCAATAGATTTATACTCTAAGATGAATTTGAAATGGCTGATTTGTGTTTGAATGAGGCACATGCCTTAATTAAAACCTCCTGACTTTTTTTTTTTTTTTAATTTTTTTTTTTCAATGTTTATTTATTTTTGGGACAGAGAGAGACAGAGCATGAACGGGGGAGGGGCAGAGAGAGAGGGAGACACAGAATCGGAAACAGGCTGCAGGCTCTGAGCCATCAGCCCAGAGCCCGACGCGGGGCTCGAACTCACGGACCGCGAGATCGTGACCTGGCTGAAGTCGGACGCTTAACCGACTGCGCCACCCAGGCGCCCCAAACCTCCTGACTTTTAAATGCATTTTGTACTTTTGGACTTGAGTACTACTGATAATGCAAAGCTAAGTTTGTGTCGCTACATCATAGTCTCACAGTCTACTTCTCTGGTCCTTAAGTTATATTAAATTTCTGACTTTCTAGATTTCTTTATTTGTCATTCTCACCTTGTTTCCAGGTCTGTGTTACCTTTAAGGGAGATGCTATTTGTCTGAAACCTTGGAGTCTGTCCAATATGTGCCATACCCCACTCCCTCTGCTTGAAGCTGGAAGCAAGCTCGGTTTTGCACTGGGAAAGCTCTGATTGTTGGAAACTTCCCAATGATCTGTTTTGTTCTAACTTCCTTGGTTTTTCTTACCCAGACTCAACAGAGTTCAAATATTTGTTATCAGGACATTTTTCTAACAAGATTGGCATATTCCTTACCACTTACAAGTTATTCATGGCATTTCAGAATTCATCATTAAGAATTGTGTAGATTTCTGGCAGAGCATTTTGTACATGTTATTAGTTAACACATATGAAGCAGATACTCTGTTTTCTCTTAAAACAATTCCATAACTGATAGTTAACCATCCATATTTTATAGATGAAGAAATCAAAGCTTAGAAAGGTTAAATCGATCCTTAACAAGATACTAGCCAACCAGATCCAACAATACATTAAAAGAATTATCCACCACGACCAAGTGGGATTTATACCTGGGATGCAGGACTGGTTCAATATCCACAAAACAATCAGAATGATACATCACATCAATTAAAGAAAGGACAAGAACCACATGATCCTCTCAATAGATGCAGAAAAAACATTTGTCAAAACACAGCATCCTTTCTTGATAAAAACCCTCAAGAAAGTAGGGATAGAAGGATCATATCTCAAGATCATGAAAGTCATATATGAAAGACCCACCCCACCCCATCCTCAATGGGGAAAAACTGAGAGCTTTACCCCTAAGGTCAGGCACATGACAGGGATGTCCACTCTCGCCACTGTTATCCAACCTAGTATTGGAAGTCCTTGCCTCAACAATCAGATAACAAAGAAATAAAAGGCATCCATATCTGTAAGGAGGAAGTCTAGCTTTCACTCTTTGATACTCTATATGGAAACATGATACTCTATATGGAAAACCCAAGAGATTCCACAAAAAACTGCTATAACTGATCCATGAGTTCAGCAAAGTCACACGATATAAAATCAGTGCAAAGAAATCGGTATAGGTTGCATTCCTGTACACCAGAAATGAAGCAACAGAAAGAGAAGTCAAGGAATCGATCTCATTTACAGTTGCACAAAAAACCATAAACTGCTGAGGAAAAAAACGTAACCAAAAGGTGAAAAATCTGTGCACTGGAAACTATAGAAAGCCTATGAAAGAAATTGAAGAAGATACAAAAAAATGGAAAAAGATTCCATGCCCATGGATTGGAATAACAAATACTGTTAAAATGTTGGTATTACCCAAATCAGTACATATTCAATACAATCCCTATCAAAACAGCACCAACATTCTTCACAGAGCTAGAACAAACAATCCTAAAATTTGTATGGAACCAGAAAAGAGCCTGAATAGCCAAAGCAATCTTGAAAAAGAAAACCAAAGCAGGAGGCATCACAATCCGGGACTTCAAGCTGTATTACAAAGCTGTAATCATCAAGATGGTATAGTACTGGCACAAAAACAGACACTCAGATTAATAGAACATAATAGATAATCCAGAAATGGACCCTCAAATGTATGGCCAACTAATCTTTGACAAAGCAGGAGAGAATGTCCAATGGAATAAAGACAGTCTCTTCAGCAAGTGGTGGTGGGAAGATCGGACAGCGACATGCAGAAGAATGAACCTGGACCACTTTATTACAGCATACACACAACTAAACTCAAAATGGATGAAAGACCTAAATGTAAAACAGGAAACCATCAAAGCCCTAGGGGAGAAAGCAGGCAAAAACCTATTTGACCTCAGCCGCAGCAACTGCTTAGTCAACACATCTCCGGAGATAAGGGAAACAAAAAGAAAACTGAGACCTCATCAAAATAAAAAGCTTCTGCACAGCAAAGGAAACAGTCAGTAAAACTAAAGGGCAGCCAACAGTGGGGGTGCTCCTGGGCAGCCCAGTCGGTTAAGCTTCAGACTTTGACTCAAGTCATGATCTCACAGTTTGTGAGTTCCAACTCTGTCGGGCTCTGTGCTAACAGCTCAGAGCCTGGAGCCTGCTTTGGATTCTGTGTCTCCCTCTCTCTCTCTCTCTGCCCCTCCCCAGCTTGCCCTCTCTCTCTCTTTCTCTCTCTCTGTAAGGTGAGTAAACAGTAAAAAATAAGATAAAAGGCAACCAACACTGGGGCGCCTGGGGGGCTCAGTCGGTCAAGCGTCCAACTTCAGCTCAGGTCATGATTTCACAGTTTGTGAGTTCCAGCCCCTCATTGGGCTCTGTGCTGACCCCTCAGAGCCTGGAGGCTGCTTCGGATTCTGTGTCTCCTTCTTTCTCTGCCTCTCCCCCACTTGTGCTCTCTCAAAAATAAATAAATGTAAAAAAAAAATTTTTTTTTTTCCAAAAAAGACACCAGCATAATGGGAGAAGATACTTGCAAATGACATATCAGATAAAGGGTTAGTATCCAAAATCTACAAGGAATTTATCAAACTCCACACCTGAAAAATAATCCAGTGAAGACATGGGCAAAACGCATGAATAGACACTTCTCCACAGAAGACATCCAGATGGCCAACTGACACATGAAAAAATGCTTAATATCACTCATCATCAGGGAAATACAAATTAAAACCACAATGAGATACCACCTCACACCTGTCAGAATGGCTAAAATTAGCAACTCACACAACAACAGATGTTGGAGAAGATGCAGAGAAAGAGGATCTCTTGCACTGCTGGTGGGAATGCAAACTGGTACAGCCACTCCAGAAAACAGTATGGAGTTTCCTCAGAAAATTAAAAATAGAACTACCCTACAACCCAGCAATTGCACTACTAGGCATTTATCCAGGGGATACAGGTGTGCTCTTTCAAAGGGACACCTGCACCCCATGTTTATAGCAGTACTATCAACAATAGCCCAAGTATGGAAACAGCCCCAGTGTCCATGAATAGATAAAGAAGATTTGGTATACACACACACACACACACACACACACACACACACACACACTGGAGTATTACTTGACAATCAAAAAGAATGAAATCTTGCCATTTGCGACTACGTGGATAGAACTGGAGGGTATTATGCTAAGTGAAATTAGAGAAAGACAAATATATGACTTGTGAGGAATTTAAGATACACAACAGATTAACATAAGGGAAGCAAAAATGATATAAAAACAGGGAGGGAGACAAACCATAAACTCTTAAATATAGAGAACAAACGGTTGCTGGAGGAGTTGGGGGTGGGGGAATGGGCTAAATGGGTAAGGGGCATTAAGGAAGACACTTGTTGGGATGAGCACTGGGTGTTATACATAGGGGGTGAATCACTGGAATCTACTCCTGATACCATTGTACTATATGCTAATTTGGATGTAAATTTAAAAATGAATAGGTAGGTAGGAAGGCAGATGGATGAATGGATAGATAAATGCATACATACATAGATGATCTAGCCTAAGATCAGATAGCCAGAGGTGGAAAAACTGGGATTCTCTTTTCCTAAATTAAGACCAGTTAAAATTGCCTTTAGTTGCTAACTCCTGTCACCCTTGTTGCTCTAAATTTGGGGCAGTAAGCAAAGAGGTTTAGAATTGTTTTTCACTGGATTCTCATTCAACAAAATCCCAAGTACGTTTGTTTTGTTTTAAGACAACTTGGGCAGATTTCACAGTTCTTTACTTTTATTTCTGCTTCCCTAGTTGCATATGTTTGTCTCCTTTAGGATAATTCCCTATCCACTTATGTGGAAGTTTTCCTGTATCCATCCTGGCAAAAGACTCTCATTCAGAAGATTCCAAACATAGTTACTCTGCTGTTTGGTACTTTAACAGTCCCATGCCTCTGGGATTTAATTGGGCACCTTGCCTCTTTTTTGCTTTTTAATTCTGTAATTATTCAGGATTCTGAAAACTTCATTTTTAGTAATGGTAGTACAATTATCCCTTTCAGTCACCTGGTTTTTAGTACCCTAGGACTTATTTTCAGTGTTCCATCTCCCTGTGGTGTTTGTGTCTTTTTAAATGGATGCATAAAGTTGGCCCCATTACTCTTGTATAAATGTGGATATAACGCCAGGTCTGAGAGGTTTTGTCTCTTGTTTTCCACGTGATTCCTGGATTAATGCAAGTACAAATTTATCCTTTAAATTGATGTTCCCCCAATTTCCAGAGTTGTCTCAAAGCAGGTAAATTTATTGAGTACTTATTATATGTCAGGGACTATTCTCATAGTAATTTTCTCACTTAATCCTCATAATAACCTATTGAGGTAATAGTGTTATCAGTATTATATACTTCCTTCTGGCTTCTAGCATACTCAATTCACAAAGCCAGAGTATTTTCAGCACTGGCTGTGTCTTTTATTTTTCTATTTCCTTCTTAACCATATTAGCTTTTCAGAATTTGATTGCATTTCATCTTTTATCTATCCATGAATATAATGCATTTTCTATCTTGAATAGGGCTATATTTTGCCTATAAATAAGTTTCTCTTTTCTTCTTTGGAGGAGTTTTCACTTGGGTTCAGGGTTGAGTAGCATTCCACTATTTTAATCCTCTCTTTAGTGTCTTTCTCCTGCCTGCCCAAAAAATTAAAGAAAAGCAAAAGAACCAAAACTGTTTATGAATACTCTGCTATCTTCATCATTCTCAAAAAAAGACAGTGGTCCTCTCCCATTGTGGTGAACTTCACTTAGCTGTAGAAATGTATCCCAGATAAAACTAAACCTGTTTCCTCTGTGTAGGGTACTGTCCAGCATGTATTCAGTTGCTCTTAAAACTATTCCTTGATAAATCTGTATTCAGTAGCACTGATTTTTGGTATGTAGAGATCCTTATTACTACAAATATTCATGAACTGTTTATTTGCACTTGAATTTAGAGATTTCTGTAGAGAACATGACTGTCAGATCTTCATGGTTGTGCATGTGTATGTATACACTCTCAGATTTCCTGAACTAAGGTTATTAGTCACGTATTTGAAGACAGGTGGCCAAATTCTCAAATCAAGTGTGTATGCACAAAAATTACCGAGTTTCAAACTAAAATATTGACCCTAAGTCTCTCAGTAATCTACTGGGGCTTGATGGGATAAGCCAAACAGCTTCTTTAGTCTTTTTCTGTTGGGGTCCAATCCTTTTCCTGTCTTTTGACAACTTCTTTGGCTGAGACAAAGTCTATAGAAAAGTACCAGTCAACACCTTGAACAGATCTGGTTGTTTGATTTCATGACTCTTTTTTTCCTAGACTTTCCCTCATCTTAGGCTTTTTAAGGTTAGCTGATAACCACTGGCCTATCAAAGCAGTCAAACGAGAACAAGATTTAGAAGAGAAGTTTGTTTCTGCTTCTCCAACTCCAAGCTCAGTGTCTTATACAGTTGTAGGTCTCTCAAGATTCCTACAGTATGGCCTACAAAGTTATCAAAAGTTAGAGCAGAGCTCAGTAAATTATTTCTGCAAAGGAACAGGTAATAAACATTTCTGGCCTTGTGAGCCATATAGTCTCTGCTGCAATTACTCGATTGTTGTTTTAGTGCTAGCAGCCATAGACAAAACATAAAAGAATGGGCATGGCCAGATTTGTCACATAGGCCATAATTTGCCAACACCTGAGTTAGTAACAGACAACAAAATGCATCTGCTGGATTGAATATACACATATCAAAATTTGATTCTTTGAAAGCCTTCTATAATATTTTATTTATTTATTTAATCCAGGTTAACAAGGACTTTGGGTCTATTTTTTCTACTCTTTTGCCTGGTGCTAATGCTATGCTTGCACCACCAGAGGGGCAAACTGTATTGGATGGTCTGGAGTTCAAGGTTGCTTTAGGAAATACTTGGAAGGAAAACCTAACTGAACTTAGTGGTGGTCAGAGGTGAGTAATCCCTTTACAGATTTAGAATTCCTCAATCCTCTTATTACAATCCATCACCTCATTGCCGACCTATTTGCTGTTTTGTTTTGCTTAGCTGTCTTAAATGTACAATTTAAGGAGGTTAATATGTAAGACTGCAGATTGTGGTTAGAACTTGTGATTAAAATAGTAGGCAACAAAGGAAATAAGGGTAAGCAGCTAGAAAATGAGATGAAATTATGAAAAACAATTGATTTCAGACATTGGGAAATTAGTAGCCCAAGAGTCTGAAACTGTGAGCAATAAAACAAAAGTGCTAAGCTCGGGGTTCATGTCTGCTTTCTGCATAGAATTTCTGGATTGCAGATGCAGGGAGGGGGAATCAACACGAATCATAGTAGTTTCACTGAATTAAAGAAACAGGTTAGAATTTTGGGAGGCCCCAGTAAGCTGCACCCTAGCATTCAGTCTGTAATGTCCCTGAAGTGAAGGCTAGTCTTTACACACAGCAAAGTTCATTGTAAGCCTTGAAGAAATCAAGCTGATCCTCATGTAACTAAAGTGTTTCTCAGAACAAAGCCTAATGCTTTTAAAGAAAGACAACAAAATTTGAGACTGTAATGGAACACAGTGTCTGGTATCTGATAAAAAGTACTGGACAGAAATCAAGAAAATGACGTGTAACGTAGAGAAAAATTACTCAATGGAAACAGACCCAGAAATGACAGGTGATGAAAAGAGCAGACAAGGAAGTTATAGTATTACATTAATTAGTTCTAAGAATTACAAGGAGAAAAGAATGTGATGAGAAATGTAAGCTATAAAAAAAAAAAAAAAAAAGAATTTAGGGGGCACCTGGGTGGCTTGGTCAGTTAAGCGTCCAACTCTTGATTTCGTCTTAGGTCATGATCTCACGGGTTGCAGGTTTGAGCCCAGTGTTGGACTCTGCACTGACAGCGCGGAGCCTGCTTGGAATTCTCTATCCTCTCTGCCTCCCCTGCGCCCCTGCTCATGTGTACTCTCTCTCCCAAAATAAATATTTAAAAAAAATTTTTTTAAAGAATCTAGTAGAATTGCTAGAGATAAAAAATATGCCCAAAAGGAAAAGCTCACATGACATTAGCAGATTAAACAGTGTAGACACATGAGTGAATTTGAAGACACAGCAATAGAAAGTTAAAGCTAAAGTGAGAAGCACAGAACTGTAAACAGTGACCTGTGGGGCAATATTAAGCCATCTAACATATATGTGATTGGAGTTCCAAAAAGAGAGGAAGAGGTAAAGAAAAATATTTGAAATAATGTCCCCAAATTTTCCCGTTTTGATGAGTTCTATAAACCCACAGACTTAATGTAGGTAGGATAAACACCACACAACCTCTCCCGTGACATACATACAGTAACTCAGCAAGCCATGTTATATGAAATTGTGATTTGTCTTCAGGCAGCCAGAGGCATAGTATTACGTACCAAGGAACAGATATAAAAATGACTTTAGGATTATTGTCAAAAACTATGCAAGCCAGGTATCTGGAACAACATCTAGAAAGTGCTAAAAGAAAAACGTGGCAACCTAGAATTCTATGTCTAATCAAAATATTCTTCAAATGGAAGTCAACGTAAATATTTTTTCAGAAAAACAACAGCTGGAGGAATTTGCTCTCAGCAGAACCGTACAAGTTAAAGGAAGTTTTTGGATAAAGGGCAAATGATACCAGATGAAAAAACTCAGATCTGCATAAAGGAATGAATAGTGTTGGAAATAGCATGCTGTAGACTTCAGGGAAGTTTTTCCCCAGCCTTACATGGTGATTCAGACAATCGGCATACTAAGGAAAAACTTAAGAGGTCATGTGGACTAACTCCTTACCTGCAGAGAACCAAATAATTAAAGCCTACTGAGAGAAAATTGTGAATATTCACATAATTAAAGACAGTTAATTTTATATTTTGTCCCCTGTAGGATGTGCAATCTGTAGTTCTTAAATTGTTCTCATGTGCCCTATGATGCCATCATGTAACTTTTATGTATGTAGAAAATACTAAGACCTGTTAATTTCCCTAATGAAGGCCTTTGCCATTTTTATGAGAATAGTACTCCCCTGATTATATTTCATTATGATAAAATTCCTAAATATTTTAACAGTCTAAGACACCTTCTGGTGCCTGTTAACCAAAGTTGAATTCTACAGTTCAAATCCCAACATCTAACTTTTTTGCCAAAGTCCTACATAATGTTTTGAGGAGAACAGAAAATATATGCTTACTTTCTTTTTGAGACCTGAAAATTATTTCTATAATTAAGATGATACAATTTTCACATAAATACCATTATTTTAGATACATACCCAGCATACTAGTTTAACTCTTGATGAGAATTTTTTTTTCTTGGTGAGGTTTTTTTCTTCCCCCCTGCAAAATTAAGTTGAAAGAAAGCGCAATGCCTTAAACATTTGGTACAGAGAAAGCCAATAAAAAATAACTTTAGGTTGCTTGAGAGACGTCAGCTGCCCTTTATAGAGGTAGATGTCAATCTCACTGTTGTTTTTTATGGTAAAGAAAAAAATCTAAGAATTATCATGATACCTGATTAGAAAAAAAACAGCTACAGTAATGGGGATGGCTAGCTAGAAGAGAACTGAAAAAGAGCTATAGAAACTCAGATGTGTAACTGCAAATTTTAAATAAGGTGTATTGGGATTCTCCAGAGAAACAGAACTAGTAGGGTATGTTTGTGTGTATAAAAGGAATTTTCATCTTATCGTGGAGGCTGAGAAGGCCCACAGTTTGTTGTCTGCAAGCTGGAAACCTAGGCAGGCCAGTGGTATAATTCAGTCCGAGTCTGAAGTCCTAAGAACCAGGAACACTGAGTCTGAATATCCATGTCCCAACTCGAGTAATGAGGCAGGAAAGAACAAATTCTTTCTCTACCTTTCTTATGATTCAGGACTTCAGCAGATTATGTGATGTCCAGCCACATTGGAGAGAGCAAACTGCTATACAGAGTCTTCCAATTCAAATGCTAACTTCACCCAGAAACATTCTCAGACCCAGAAATAAAGTTTAGCCTAATATCTGAGTGCTCTGTAATCCAGTTAAGTTGACACACAAGATTAACCATCATACAATTGTTTGAATTTCTGACACTGGGAATTACTTCCCAGTAATCCCAGTATTATGGGATTACTGGGTCATAATCTATACAATTTACTCTTAAATGGTGCCAATAAAGAGTGTGTGTGTGTGCGCGCGCACACACACGTGCACACATATGCAGACATAGTAAAAGTTTGAAAGAGAGTACCTAAACCAGTTCTACTATTACAAAGATAGTAGCTGTTGACTATATACTTACTTGTTAAGACTTTACTCGCCTGCTACCAAGGCATCTAATAGCAACTGGGGAAGGAAAGAAAAAAATTAACATGCTCTTTCCTTAAGGATAAGTGCCAATTATAAAATCCTGATTATTTGACGGGAAAGAATGTAAACCTGTTTCAAGATAAATAAGTTTCAAAATAAAACTTGAAGAGAAAAACTGAAAAGCTGAAATAAACATTTTAATACCAACAAAAGTGTTGAACTTTGAAACTTTAAATTATTTCCATGGCAGTCTTTCAGCTAAATCTGCACTATCCATAAAAGGACAGCAGATTTGCTTCAGTATTTTGGTAAAAAATGATAAAATCAAATTTTGATAACTTTTCTTCTGGTCTTTTCTTAGGTCTTTAGTGGCTTTGTCATTAATATTGTCCATGCTCCTCTTCAAACCTGCTCCAATTTATATCCTGGATGAGGTAGATGCAGCCTTGGACCTTTCTCACACCCAAAACATCGGACAAATGCTGCGGACTCATTTCACGCATTCTCAGGTGAGAACCAGGAAGACAATGTCTCCGTGATAGTTTTCGTATAGTATGTGTTTATTCAAAAACTATTCTTTAGTAATGGCCAATATGAAGATATTTAGGATTGAAGAACATGAAAGCATTGTATCTCTTTAAATATACAGTGATTATTTACATATATGCACATTCGAATAAGGAAAGAAGGTTTGGTTTACTGTTACAGAAAGAGCCAGGCATGACAATTGTTGGTTGTATCATGAGGGAGAGTCTAAGTTTTTCATAACTAGAAATTAAATATGGTTAACGTCATTATTTTCTCTAGCTTGCTGCCAAAGGATACACAATCAAAGGAAGACTGGCTTAGGAACATACCTAGGCATCAGAAAATCATGTGGTGCTTGATGGGGTACTCGTCATTTTTCCTGGGTGGGAAGTAGAGAAAAACCCCTTTAAGAACAGTTAGTTTTTATTGAACTGTTGCTGCAGGAGCTGGGGCTGCCAAGTATGGTTATATAGATAATGCAGTGTACAACTCGGGGGTTTCACTTAATCGTAGTTAGCGTAGACTTATTTATTATGGTCCATTTTTACCAGGTAACAGTGAAGTGGTGCCTATTTTGAATTCTATAAGTGTTCCATTTGACTAGTGGTAGTGCTGTGGGAACTTGTAGCCTTTGATATTTTTGCAGTATCACAAAGAAAAATATTTCACCAGAGCATTTAGAGCTAGCAACAAAACAGTGATGCCAGCTGCAGAGGATAGCAACAAGCAGTCAACCAGCAAGAAATAGTAAATTTGGGTAATGAAGCACTCAAGGTAAAATTAAGACTCCTAAAACCCAAATATAGAAAGCTAGAATTCATTTAGGTGCCTAATATTATAACTATTTGTTACTTGCATTTGCTTTGAACCACGCATTGAAAGAAATAAAATCAAAATATCTCTAGACAATTCTTAGTCCCAGAATAAAAACAGGAGTGCTTTTCTTCAAATTACAAAATACCTTTTATGCTTTTTTTCTTTTTCCCTCAAGTTCATTGTGGTGTCCCTAAAGGAGGGTATGTTCAACAATGCAAATGTCCTGTTCAAAACCAAGTTTGTGGATGGTGTTTCTACAGTAGCCAGATTTACTCAGTGTCAAAATGGAAAGATTCCTAAGGAAACTACATCCAAGGCAAAAGGACCCAAATGACCACCTTTGAAGCTAAAAGTACAGATTTACTCCTTTACCTTGACCTGTTTTTTAAACATAAAGACCTTGGGATTTACTTATTTATGTAAAATGTAATGTTGTTTTGTTACTTAACCTGTATTTTCTCTTCCTTTATGTAATCACTTATAAATGAACATAGAGGTCTCTTTTCTTAATCAGTGTAACTATGGTCCAATTACTGTGATTGTGATTTTATGCATGTCCTCAAATGTTTTTTCTTACACAATTCTTTATACTAGGGAGCCTGAGATACCTGGTTGGTGGTGCATTGTTTGTAAAAGCTAAAAATAAAAAGAAACAGATGGAATTAAGTTATAAGATAAATATAGCTGATAGTCAGCTTTTAATTAGTTTAATTCCTAAGGTAATATTAATGTGTTTTCTGTTGTTAAGAAAGTCATTTAGGTAAGAATTATAAAGCAAGTGTCTGGACCAACAAAGGGAACACACAGGAAGCTGTTAGGCATGCACCAAGCTATTTGTTGTTAGTTCTGTGAAGATACAATGGCAGAGCCCTGATTGAGACCCAGATGGGAAACCTTTGGAAAGATTCTCTCACTTTAATGATGTTTGGAGATCATGTTTCTATATGCTTAGTAATTGGTCTGTGCAATCTTAAGTTTTTAAAAAATCTTCACTAGTATTTTAACAGAAGCCTGGGAGAAGGTATGTTGCATTAAGTCTCCTCATGTTTTCAAAGATTTTTGTTATTAGCCTTTTCATAATCCAATTAATAACAGTCTGTTGGTGAATGAGAATGTAGGAGCCAGCAGACTAAACCAAATTTATCTTTTTCCTTGAGTCTGATGAATATATAAATAGATCATCCATTCTACCGAAAGAACTCAAAATTTGATGATTATTATATATCTTAGTGTCTTCTTTCCAGGTCAAAATGTTGAAGTTTCTTTAAGAACTCAAAAGAAGCGCTAACAAACACCATTTGGTTACTATGTGTAGTTCTGCATCACCAGAGTGTCTCCAAACTCTGAATTTTGAAAGCGCTCACATGATCTAATCTGATCTTGAGTATATTATTTTGGCCCTGTATCCCTTCTTGATACTCAGTTCCTTTATGTTACCCTTTCCCTAATATATGCTTATGGTTCTTGGCTTTGGCTTTAAAATTCCTCATCCTTCTCATACACAACTGAGGATGTCAGATAACATCCAGGTAACTGATACAATGGGACACACTGGAAAGGACTGAATCTGGAATTCATTCTGTCCACTATGGGAGGAGAGGGAGACAAAGTTATAAATGCCGAGTTACAGGAAGTCTAATTTCACCTATAACAGACAGGAGTTTTTTTATTTCCTTTCAAATGTATTGAAGATTATTTGCCAAAACAGTTCTGTCTGTTCACACTTGCAGTAAGATCACATATCTGTTGACCACAACCCAGTTAGCACTGGCTGTTAGTTTTATTATTTCTGATTTACTAGTTATAAAATGGTAGTTCATTGCTGTTTTAACTAACATTTGATAAATAACTTGTGAGGTTGAATATTTTGACATCTGAACTAATTTTCTTTACCTCAGATTTTCTATTTGCTTCCTTAATTTTTGTCTCCTATATATCATGCTTTTTGATGATAATCATATTAAGTTTTTATGAGTAATGTCAGTATATTGTGATTAGAAGACGACATGAAGGGGAGAGTCAGGGACCTTTAAAGTTCTGCAATAACATAAGTAACCTTTACTGAGCTCTTTCTAGACATCAGAGGCTATTCGTATTTGCATCTGTTTTCACATTTGAGTAAGTACTGTTGATCAGCATTACATAATTGAGGAAATTGAATTGAGCACAAAAGTTACCAGACTTGTCTGTGGTGATAGTAGTTAGGGGCAGAGCCAAGATACCAGTCTTGGCAGTTGGGCTCCAGAATATTACCTTTCTGACAGTTTGAACATTTGTGTTCATTGTACATAATAAATTTAAGACACACCTGGGTGAGCAGTATGCACAACATGAGAAAATTCTTTCTAGGAAGAATGTCAAACATTTGAAAAGAATTCCTTCTGGGTTTTTTTTTTGGGGGGGGGGGTTGTTTGGGGCATTTCATGTACCCTAACAAATGCAAAAGCAAAAACTTGAGAATCCATTCTCTTCTGATACAGTGAGGTAATCAAATAGGCCAACCACTCCCGCCATCATGTTGTCTGCAAATCAGGATAGGTTTTCTTCCTTTTTGATCTGTGGGCCTTTATTCCCCTTTCTTGCTGTACTGGCTTGAAGTTCCAGCACTGTGTGGTATAAATAATGAGAGCTGGCATATCTTCCTTTTCCCCAAAATTCTGAGGAAAGCATTCAGTCTCTCACCACCTAAGTATAATGTTAGCCATAGGCTTTTTTGGTTTATATTCTTTATCAAGTTAAAGAAGTTTCCTTCTGTTCCTAGTTTGGTCACTTTTATCATGGATGGGTTATTGAATTCTGTTCATTGCTTTTTCTGCATTGATTGATATGATCATGTAAGTGCTTTAGCCTGTTAAGAATGAATTACATTGCTTAATTTGTGAATATTAAACCAGCCTGGTATTCCTGAATTAAACCCTGCTTGGTCATGGTCTATAATTCTCTTTATGTAGAGGCATACCTTGTTTTATTATGCTTCACGGGTAACTGCGTTTTTTTTTTTACAGATTGAAGGTTTGGGGCCACCCTGCACCCAGCAAGTCTGCCAGCACCCTTTTTCCCCACAGCATTGGTTCACTTTGAGTCTGTCACAGTTTGATAATTCTCACATACTTTCACACTTTCTCCTTGTTATATTTGTTATGGTGATCAGTGATTATGACTCACTGAAATCTGATGATGGTTAGCATTTTTTAGCAATAAGCTATTTTTAAGATACATACTTTTTTTAGACCTAATGCTGTTGCCCACTTAATGGATTACAGCGTAAATATAACTTTTAAATTTAAATATTGGTTTCAGCAGTAGAACTCAGTGATTCATCAGTTACATACAACATCCAGTTCTCATCACAGGTGTCTGCCTTAGTACCCATAACCCATCCCCCAACCCATGGCCCTCCATCAACCCTCAGTTTGTTCTCTATCGGTAAGTCTCTTGTGGTTTGATCTCTTTTTGAATATTACTCAGCCATCAAAAATTAAATGTTGTTGCCACTTGCAACAATGTGGATGGAGCTAGAATGTATTATGCTAAGTGAAATAAGTCCATCAGAGAAAGACAATACCATCTGATTTTAAGAACTCAAAACAGATGAATATATGGTAAAGGGGGGTATAAATAGAACTTTTATATGCACTGGGAAAGCCAAAAAAATTTTTTTTGCCTTGTTTTGCTTGCTGTATTGTAGTATCAAACTGAACCCAAAATGTTTCCAGGTTATGCTTGTTTTATAGGATTCTGTTTGCTAATAGCTTGGTTGTGATTTTTGTGTGTGTTCATTAAGGGCTTTGGTCTGTATGGGTTTGTTTTGTTTTGTTTTGTTTTTCTGGCTTTGTTTGGTTTTGGGGTAATACTAACTTCATAAAATTAATTGGGAAATGTTCCCTCTTCTATTTTCTGTATAATTATATAGAATTTGTGTTAATAATTCTTCAAATATTAGAATCCTCCTATGAAACTCTCTAGGCCTGGAGATTAGGGGGCGGGATGGGGGGAATAGAAATACAATTTCTTTAATAGTTATGGGGATGTTTAAATTATCTGTTTTACAACAAGTGATTTGTGATAGTTTGTGTTTTTTGCTCAATTGTTCCATTTCATCTAAACTGTCAAATTTGTGTGCAGCAGTCATGGTATTTCCTCATTATCCTTTTGATGTCTTCAAGCTCTGAAGTTATCACTTGTTTCATTCCAGATATTGGTAATTTTTGTTTTTTTCTCTGTCAGTCGTGATGGAAGTTTGTCAATTTTATTGTCTTTCAAAGAACCAGTTTTTTATTTCATTTATTTTATTGTCTTTCTGTTTTCATTTACTGATTTTGTCTCATTTCCTTTTTTCTGCTTTGGGCTTATTTTGCTCTTTTCTAGTTTTATGGTAGAGGTTTAGATTGTTGATTTGAGATCTCTTTTTGTAGCAAGCAATTAATGCTATCATTGGCCCTCTTAGGTAGTAATCTTTTAGCTTCATCTCACAGATTTTGATATGCTGCATTTTCAACTTTAACTTCAAAATATATTCTAATTTGCTTTGACATTTCTTCTGACTATTGAATTCTTTTGGAATCTATTTCTTAAGTTTCCAGATAGTTGGGGATTTTCCAGGTAGCATTCTCTTACTGATTTCTAGTTTGTTCTGTTATGTCAGGAATCAGTTTTTTTTAATTGTTAAAAAAGGATAGATTTAGAAAACAAAATAGGTACAAATTCAGTGGTCTAAGGTTCTACCTTAATGTATATTTTAGATAAATAAAAAGTAAACCCAAATTAAATAGAAAGGTAGAAATAATAAAAGGTAGAAGTCAACATATACAGGACAGAAAAACAATGGAGAAAATTAAGCTGACATATTGATTTTGTTTTGAGAACCAGGTATCTGTAATTAGACCATTCAGGCAAACCAGAGAAATTACAAGTCACTAATATCAGGAATGAAAGAAGAGTTGCCACTGTGGCTTTTACCTAAATTAAAAGGATGCAAAATTATGATGCTTTTCATGCCAGTAAATTCAATAACTTAGACAAAATGGAAAATTGGAAAAATAAAACTCACTAAAATTGACAAGAGTAGACAGAACTTGAATAGCTTCACATCTGTTCATGCAATTGAGATGATTAAATATCCTCTCATAAGGAAAACTTTAGTTCCATGTGGTTTTATTTGTAAATATTACTATTCAAAGAACAAGTGGCGGGGGGGAGGGGGCAGGGGAACACTTCCAACCTGTTATAAGTCCAGGGTTCTAATACTAAAACTTGACAAAGACAGTATAAAACAAGAAAATTACAGCCTGGTAGCCCTCATGGTCTGAAGAGCAAAAACCCTGAAAATATTAG